ATGTGCCGGTAATGCATTGTAGCTGCAGACATATCACTACACATATCCTTTATAGCATGCATGTAAGTAATAACTATCGTCGATGCGATGTTCATTATATCTTACGTGTTCCCCAGTGCCCAGCGACCTGATATTTCTTCGATGACCTGACCACCTTCTGTCCCTGTCTCTACCCTGCCCTGCCCCGGATCCTGCCCTTCCATGCCCTGCCCTGCACCGTGGGATGCCCGGGGGCGGCTTCGGTAGCTCCCTGACGCCGGCTACCTGGCCAGATCAGTGTCTGCGCGCTGAGGGCTGTTCGGCAGCGCGCCCCGGGCACACTGCACCCGCTCACGGAACTGGGATTAGCGGTCGGCCCGGCAGACCTTGAGAGGTCACCGAGCCGGCCTTTAAAGGAGTGCCCAGGCAGGGGTGGCAAGGATGGGCCTGCTAATTAAAGGTTGATTAGTGTTGACAGGAGTTTCGAATTCTAGCCCCTTTTAAAAGGGAGAGGACAAAATGAATAGAACCCTTTATCTATTTCATATTTTCCACTTAACTCCGCTAAAACACTCGCCCCAGAAAAGCTAAGTGAATATATGAAGATAAACTTAATTGGAGACTTCCGGAGGGCAGTTGTCGTCAGTTATTGGGCTATACCTACAGAACAGTTACAATTTATGTGCGATTACAAAATTACAACTCAATTGTGGTTGTCTCAGGCATGTGGTTTTAAAACATGAATTGATTGTAAGAGCTGATACAATCAAAATTACTTTGCATTCATCGATGCAAAGCGAAGACATTTTCTGCAGCTAGTTGACAACGGGTGGTAAAATGTTGAGTATGAGCTGCTCAGCGGGCAACGTTTTTACTCCCGACTCCCGTTGTTATGACTAAGCCAACGAAACCGCATGCATTGAACAATGAACAGAAGACCGCAAATTGATAACCATAGGACTGTTCTTTGACCAATGACGGTCTCCGTAGTAGTAAACACGGTAGCAGCTTAAAAAAAGAAACAATAAACGCCATTCATCAGCGTGAGAGTCTGCTGTTCTGCTATCTTCACTATCCTAAACTCATATTTTGTCCCACGCTGGTGACCTTTAGGATAAAGACAGCAAAGGTTATGTGTGCTGTGTGCAAGTAGACAACCAGTATCAAATACCGCAACACAATATGCCAATCCATTTCACATTTAACGTCATCATAATTCATACGGTGTTTACTTTGATTCTAATCACACCCCATTTATGGCTTCATGTGTGATGAGCTCATGCAAATGTAACTGAAGCAGCCTGGTCATTCATTGTTCATTCGCTGACACCAGACCAGAGCGGAGCAGTTTTCCTTTCAGACAACGCGGTGTAGTCCTAATGGTGGAGGTCTAAAGCTCTGCTGTTCAGGCTCCGATGTCTTGATGTCTTCCTGTTGACGGATGTTGAAGCTCTGGTTTTGAAGGTTTGAAGTCTTGCAGAATGTTGGACGTCCTAGTAACGGAGTTTTTAAGTTCTGACGGAAAACTATGCTGTTGGAGGCTGGAAATCGCGATAGACAGTTTTGGAAGTTGGAAGCCAAAGTGGAGGAGATGAGAGGTCCTGCTATCGGAGGTAGGACGTCCTGCTGATGGATGTTAGTCCCTCTGAGTGCCGGTGTAGGGTGGGTCGCCCCTCGCCGGCCGGTGCGCCGCCGCCCGCTCGTTCCTGCAGCGTGGTGCCATTACACGTCCGGCCGCATGGAATGTGGTACTGCCGCCGGCCATAGTGCTTCTGCCGACATCAAAGTCGCCATAATTTGCGCTGAAGTAGCGGCAGGGCGGGCGGCCGAGGCCTGTCATTGCTGCCGCTGGCTGTCCAGTTATAAAGGAAGCCGCGCCCGACCCTTCAGACAAATAGTGCATGCCCGTGCCAAACTGCTTGATGGTGTACTTCAGCGGTGTGACGGGAAGACGCAAAGTAATCTTGACAGGCAGCCCACGAGTCTACTAATTGGAGTTTCTTGATGCAAGTGACCTCTGCGGATTGTAGATGGGCCAGTTGGTCTATGAGAAATTGCACGGTAATCTGATTATTCAGTCTTATGAGCAGGGGATTTGTATTCTGCATAATTCCAGGGAGCTGGGACGGCTCCCGTTGGCATTGCTGAAGCTGGTTTAATTGGCAGGAATGCCAGCAGAAATGTGAGACATCTCGTAGATAATATGTGACAGCACAACGTAGCGGTCTGGCGCGCAAAATATAAAATGTTGTTCATTCTCAGGGTCTTGAAGCAATGAACGAACCTGCGTCTCAAATATGCTTCTGATGACGTCTTAATAATTCATCAGACGCCGTTGTCATTTGGGCGTCGCAGCCGGATCACAAGACTCGTCACAACTCATTCTTCTGCGGACTCTAAACTCACTCTGGGCTGGGTGTGCACGCAAGCCATCCACCAAATAGGCCGGCTTATGCGGAACGGCGGAAGGCTGAAACGTTTGGGATTTGTGAGGCTGGTTAATGAGACGGTGGTGGGTCTGATTGAGCAGTCGGTAGGAGAGAGAGAGAGAGAGAGAGAGAGAGAGAGAGAGAGAGAGAGAGAGAGAGAGAGAGAGAGAGAGAGAGAGAGAGAGAGAGAGAGAGAGAGAGAGAGAGAGAGAGAGAGAGAGAGAAATGGAGGGAGGAAGTAAGAGAAGTTCCCCGTATGGCAAAACAATGCATTAATTTATTAATAAAATTCAGCATCATGTACAACGCATGCTTCTTTACACAGCTAACTTTAAGCTATACACTTCATCAATGCATCTCAACTTATTTTTTGTTCATGACGATTACTCATTATTTATTGTTTGCATCACACGTTTACGATCAATTTCAAATGCCACCGTACAATGCAAAATGAAAATTTCGTCCATCGCCCTAAATCACATTATTTAGGACAAGTTCATCAGCTTGTCTTTGGTCTTTGGAATTAGGTCTGCAAATAAATTGACCCACTGCAGGTTTTGTGTGCGAAACTCACTGCCAACGAGTGGCTACCCTTTCAGCCCTTTCCCACCATGACCCCACGGCAGCCATTTCCGTCGCTGCACCCTTTAAAGTACGCCGACAGCAAACTGCTGAGCTTCTCCACCCAGAAAACACCATCAATAACAGCACTGCTGGCCGAGACGGTTTCCGTCGATGATTGAGCATCTATCGATCGAGTAGCTATCGAGTCGGTGGCACAGAGCCCAGCTAGACTCGTTGTTTGCGCTGTTTACCTCGCTGCCCACCGTCTGGCCCACTCACTTCCGGTGGAGTGCATTCCTCGACGAGAGAGCGCCGTCGGACTCAAATAAAGCCGCTTACAGTGCCAAACGGCGGAATTCGCACGCCGCGATTGTCGCCCGCTTGGGATTCAGCCCTTTCGCCAGCTCCCAGATCGGCTGAATGACCGGCGGAGAAGTGTTGATAGAAAGTCGCATGGCTCGAATCCCGTCGCCCAATCCTTCCCTGATTCAACTACAAATGCCTAGTGACAGTGCTAATAAACCCACCAGCCACACAAACCGATAACCGGAGACCCGCAGAGACCCGCAGTCCTATAGCCGCTAACCGGTCAGTTGGACCACAAACCGCCAACGCCATAACTCGTGACGGCAGAAAGTGAGCGGCTCCCAACACGCCTGCATCGGATCGTGATCTCCCCGACTGCGACCTGCTACATCCCCATCGGGCCAATGACGTCACCGGGGCGCTCATCCCATTTGAGCGCGGCCGACGCCCGCGCCCACTTCACACACCCGGCGCCGTGACCGCGGGTCGGTGCGAGGTCACGTGCCTGGCGGGAGTGGCAGGTCAGACGTGGCAGCTGGATGATTGCAGCGGGATGAGAGCTTGCATATGGGTGGTGCCTGCGACTTGGAAGGCTGTTATTAGTCATTGAAAATGAAGCAAGAACAGTTGTCGTAATGCTTGTGATGCTCTGTTCACCTGACAATATTAGAAGAGTTGTATATCCATGAGAGCTTTCTGACAGCCTGGCAGCATTGCACTATATTAAATGTTAGATACTAAGCTGATAAAGGTGTTTATTTTACGATTTTCACGGAAGAAGAATCTGAATACATTATATAATATAATGACAGCATGCTTGAGGGAATGAATTTCGGATTTATATAGAATTTATATAAAATGTACTTTGCCACAGCTATCCCAATAAATGATAAAAACTACTTTCAAACGTGCACTTATTTGTTATACCAATTTCTGTTATATTCAAGTTGCAGATCCGGGTTCGCAATTATAAGCTGCAATAAAAAGAAATGAGCGGAAAGATCAATGGGAATTCTGCCTAGTGACAAGTTTTTTCTTTTGATTGACTTGGAAGCTGCCTCGAAGGATTTACTCCGTAATTAAAAGGCGTAATTCATTGTAGCACATTCTTCAAACCTTACCATTCACCGTTCACGTGTTGATAGCTTACGATAAATTGCATTTTTGCACTCATTAACCCTGTGAAGCGTTCGCCTTGATGTTTAGAGGTTGTGCACAGAATTATGAGCATTTGCAATGAATGAGTTCCTGGCAATTACCACCCGCCAGTTTTTCAACGAAGATAACCTGTCGGAATCACTCCCCTCCCCTTATCCCCACGACCAGACAGGATTGGTGTCCGCTTGACCAGCGTCGGTCAACGATTGACCTGGCGAACAGAAGGCTTCGGGCCCTTGCAATCACTGGTGGTCGTCGAGCAGCCTGGTGACCTGACCTAGCGACCTGACCTGGCGACCTGACCTGGCGACCTGACCTGGCGACCTCTGACATGTCAAGGCCGGTTCAGTCCCTACAGGTCACCTCGGTGACCTGACGATCTGACAGGGTTAAAGTCAGCGTGGTCCCACCGTGTGACCTGACGGGTCGCGGTCGGCTCCGGTCGGCGCGGTCGCGGCTGACCGACCGGATATCGGCAGCCACTAGCCAGGCTCTCATTGGCCGGCGACCGGCTGACGGTCTCGGCGGCGGCGGCTGCTGGGGCGGCGGCGGCGGCGGCGGGAGGCAGTGTGCTCACTGAGCGGGGCGGCGGAGCAGTGCCGTCCGTCCACAGACCGACTGACCGGCGGCGGGACCGGCCGGAAGGACCAGAGGACCGCCAGACCGGACCAGAGGACCGCCAGACCGGACCAGAGGACCGCCAGACCGGACCAGAGGACCACCAGACCGGACCAGAGGACCAGCAGACCGGACCAGAGGAGGACCAGAGGACCGTCAGACCGGACCGGAGCGAGATCGACAGGATAGCCGCAGAGGAGCGGCTGCGGCGTGCCGGAGACTGGACAGTCCGAGCTCGAGGAAGAAGACCGTGTTTGACGGAAGTTGTGTTGCTGTTTCTGAGAGAGACCGTGAGGCTCTGGAGGTGCCTCAATAGCTGCCCAGTCTTTCTTCTGTCATTGGATAACAGACAGTGGTGAAGCCGCTGGCCTCGTGTAGTTGAAGACAGAGGACACGGCGAGCCTGCCAGGACTCAACTGCGCATCTGCGGCACGTCTGAAATCCCCGGCGCCGGACAGTGTCCGTCGAAGGAGGCTCGGCCAGGTGTCTGAGCACCAGTGACGTCAAATGACATCAGATACGGGCGCCAACATGTGGCTGGCCACGGTCGTCCTACTCGCCTCCCTCAGCCGCGGTAAGTGCAACAAATCAGAGATTGACTGGCATGCTGCCCGCTCGGCTGCAATGTATTCGACCATGCCCACCGCCTGCCTGACTATGATTTATCTCAGGCAGTTCGATGACCTGCCTAAGTAAGTAGCTGCCGGTGAGATCCCACGCGGCGTGTTACGACACCATTTCGACTGTCATGCTTATCGCAATGGCTGTTTTGACGTCTGGTTACTACCAGTTCTTTTAGCTTACAAATCGTGATGTCTATGGGCTTACACAATCCACGCTCTTCATGAAGTTAATCATTACGCAACCATTGTCTTCTGTGGGTGGTGAGGGTGCGTTATAAAAAAGTATGTATGTACTCTTCACAGCGTGGCAAGTGGAGCACATCACCAAGCAATCCTTCTGGTTGGGCCGTGAAATTAATTCTAATATATTCACTCCCACCTCCATGGGATGCCCTGGCTGTTAAAACAACACAGTTTCAGCTATTAGATGAAACGTGATATTTCCTCTCTGTTTTCCCTCGTTTGAATCCAAACACAGCCCCACTCGTCAGCGCTTGGACATGACAGACGAGGCAAAGAAGACACACACCCACCGTATCATGAGAGGGAGATATTACAGGAACGGCGACTTTTTACCGCGGCTCTCTCGCCCTGGGAGTTTTTGCGGCTGCGAGTTACCAAACGACGGTGTCATTCATCGGACAACAGCCACATAGTTGTCAAGGTTGCGCCATTGTTGAGTAATTGATTATTGGATGGATAAGGAATAGTTTTTTGTTTTTATTGGGATCTACTGAAGGATCGTTACCGCAGAGTGTCCACAGCTTCTTATAAGCGAAACAGCCATGCCGTTTTAAAACGAGCTTTGAGTGGCATATCCAGGTGACCGTGGTGGATGGGCTTGTATTTGCTCACGAATTCTTTCAGGCTACCGATTTGCCATCATGCAAATATCAAATGTCAATCAAGCAAAGGTCGGCCGTTCATTGCAAACAAACGGCATATTTTCTATTGATCGTCTACTGTCCTATCAGCTTCTGGTATCTTATGTGGGATCAAAACAGTCATCAGTCATTTCCAGTCAACTAAAGGTGGACCACGGCGTCATTAGTCATCCGAGAGGCATGAATGATGACTCGAGTCGGGCGGGCAGGGCAGGTGATGAGAACCAACCCAAGCGGAACGATAAACCTACACAGCCGGGGGGCGTTTGGCATCCGCGCGCAGCTCCACCCAACCCGCGGTCAGTCCTGTGTATATCCTACAGTGACCCAGCCCAGCGCCGGCCATCCCAGAGCTGCCCCGACCAGCCCAGCCACCCGCTGCGCTCCACTGGCTCGCTGCCCACACATTCCCGGCGCAACGAAAGGCGCACAAGTTAGTGCGGCACGTGCATTGCAATCGAGCGTCGGCCGATGTTAATCTCGAGCTAGGCGGCGGTTTAAATCAGAGCCATTTGACTTGGCGTGACCGAGTTATGGTCGCGAGCGGCACGTCCGTTCCGAAGCACGTCGTGACCCGGTGTCACGCAGTCACGTCTTCATCAGGTCGGTGTCTGTGTCACGACTGCCCGTGCCCCGCGGAGAGAGAGGAGCGACCTGCCCACTGGGTTACCGAGGCACTGACTGGAGGGGGGAGGGGGGGCTGAAGGCAGTTCGAAGGGAAAATCGAATATAGGTCCGGAGTTTTGGTGCATGACTTTCTGATACAGAACGGTACTAAAGCGATGATTCTAGTAATGACAGCTTTTTAGGTAGACGTATATCTTGAAAATGAGGGTGCTTGTAGATCGAATGTTCAGATGTGTCCAATAAATGGCATATCGAGGAGTTACATGTAAAAATGTCACCCGAGACACCTGATTTTGGCAGTCAGTAGAACTCGGACCACAATAGTTTTTGGTGAGACTAAGGAAACGTCTCCACTGGCCATAGCCCTGGTCACGTTTTGAAAGCGAGTGTTCCGTGGTGTCAGTCAACAACGGGTTTTCCGAGCTCTAAACAAGGCGTCGAACAGTAAACACACCACCCACCCGCATATTACGGGGCGTGGTCCACGGTTCTGTTACAACTCGACATGGAAATTGAGGAAAACTTGTCACTCTGGGCGTAAGATTTTAGATTGATGGCAGGAAAACACATTTCCAATGTTTATTTGTAGAAACATTTATGCATTTGCCGGATGTCTATTGGGGTGAGCTGGGTACGACTAACGCACTAGAGTCAATAAAAGAATGGAGTTTTTATGCAACGCTTATCGCATTAATCAACGACTTCTGATCCATTAATCCACCGCCTCAATCGTCGCTCAGCTCGTGCGGCTCTGTTCTATGTCTGTGGGAGTGAATAAAAAACGGTAGGAAAGGAAGGCTGGAACAGCTGTCCGTCGGCCGCTGTTGGCGTGTCACTGACAGGCGGAAACAGGCCCCGTCCTCTCCGGTTACCGAGCAGACGTGGAGCCCACCTCTCAGCGCCTACCGCCGCTCAGCTCGGCACCCTCCCAATCTCCGCCACCATCCTACCGACAACAAAGGCGCCGTGGACCTCACGGGCTATATCGGAGGAGCTGATCGTTCCTCATCAGACGAGCGCGGACACCAGTGGCCGCTCACCGGCTCATCTCGCGCAGCAGCGGCCGAGCGCCGGTCTATTCATGGTGCGCGGCAGACGGGGCTGCTGCCGCGGAGAGGTGCCGGCTGCGCGCACTGGCCGCAGAGAGGTGCCGGCTGCGCGCACTGGCCGCCCTGCCATGGGACAATGGGGCGGCGCCGCGCGCCGGCGGCCCGGCGCTGCCTCCCACCCCGCCGTGAATTCAGCGTGAAATATGGTGTGCTCATTGAAAGGCCCGGATGACTGGTGGGCCGCCTTTGTCGGCTGCCGAAAGGCGTCCGGTATTGGTCACGCAGTCTGGGGTGTTTGAGAGCGCGAGGGGGTCGGCGGCGGCGCTGAATGCCGCCGAGCGTGCCGGCCTGCCAGAGCCCCTGGAATGCACCCCATCTGCCGGCTAATGATTTGTCACAGGTAGTTCAGGCGCCGCGCGAATAAAGAGCCGTGCCTAATGTAAGGGTCGAATAATTGTCCGCTCTGCAAAGGAAATGAGGTTGACCTTGCTCTTATCATGATGCAGTGAGCATTCAAGAGCATTCAAATAACTAAACTCCGGCCAGTACATTATTTCAGCTTAACTGCGGTGGCTCTAGGCAACAAGCAGAACACAAAGAATGGAATTTGTCAATCATGGATAATGTGTCGCCTAAGAGGTGTATTTTGTAGCGATTGTCGGAGCGCCATCAGTAGATAGATACTTTATATAGACGTCTTCTGTTTGGCCTGATCAACTGTCCCGGTTCGGCGCCGAGCGGGGCCGCGTGTTAATGGAACCAATACCTTAGCCTTATCTGCGGGTGTCAGTTCCAGCGCGACCGGTTTTATTGGCCCCTAATGGACACGGGTCTAAATCTGTGCCGATTACATGTCGGTGGACATTCCTCGAGGTCATCTCGGTCGGCGGCTGAGCGCAGGAAATGCCGGCCAATCACGTCCTCCGTCGAGTCTGGTGGAGCGGTGGGCACTGTCACCTCTTTACTGGCTCGACACCGCTGCTTTCTAACTCTAATGGAGCGCACGAATGGTCGGCCGAAGGTCTGAGTGAGGTAGACAGACGGGGACACACACCGAGCAGATCGGACCACACCTGGGAGGACGGGCGCTGATCCAGGCCGCTGGCCGGGTCCCCGACCACACCTGAGACCTGCCATGGGTGCGGTGCACCGGCCCGACGGCCCGCCTGCCATCTGTCCTGGCGGAGCTGGGCGGCGGGCAGGGAAGGGTTTGTGGTGAGGGCAGGGCTCCGTCCGCCGTCCGCCGCCCTGGGCAGCTGCGCCGGCCGTCCAGCCGGTGTAAAAACAGCCGGCCGCTGGGTGAGAGTGGCGCTGTGGAGTCACACCGCTCCTCCCAGCGGGGGCAGTCACATTAGGACCCGGATCGCCGCTGCGTGCCCCATAAACGGTGTCCAGCTCGGACCGGGAACGGTGGTCGCCGGGTTATGTTTATCTTGCCCGATCAAGTCACCACCCGAAGCCCCGCTGATAGAGCGGTGTTTGGGACGGGAAATGGGAGCATTTAGTGTGGGTTAGACGTGAAAGAACTTGAATTTTGGGGCACAAGTGGAGCAGGTCTAAACCTGTTCTAATGTGATAAAATTTTCACCTGGGTTTTGCGTGTGTGAAACTTGCAAAAGACATAATTGTAATGTAGATTATAGATAAACATAACATAGACATTGGATCATGGATGGCTGCTTATTAGAATATGCGTGGCTGCGCGCTGACTGACTTTCAGTTGAAACTAAATCAAAGTTTGCTCTGTTTTATTAACCAATCCGATATTCACTCCTGACTCAGCATGACCTTTTGCGCTTTTTTCTATTCCTATCTCAATTACATCTCTCTTAAGTCTTAACCTTCCTCAATGCCCCTCATACGATACTTTAAATTACCGCATGCTAAAGGCTGGCACAAGGAGATAGCGGTAACGATCATAGCTTCAGCCGTTTTAGACGATTTCCAAGGAACTACTTGCAATACTCTTATGTTGCTTCCAATAAAGATGATCTCATGTCTTAAAAGTGTTGTAATGAAGCACGTACTTACAAGTGCGCAGTTTTGGTTCATGTAAATGGCTAAGATACACCAATCTATGAATAATGAGCAATGGTATTGCTCCCTTTTCCCAACATGCGCACTGGAAAGCTGTATGCTAGGTATATGTGTGCTCTCCTATTCGCTACTCACATTTGAAAGCATACTTTCCACGCTAACTATTTTAATCATTCCCATCATTACATAAAAAACTGCTGAAATGCCACATTCCTCTTTTTACATCCATCACCATCAAGTACGCCCTCCCGGGCTGTCCATTCATTTCATTCATTGCGCTCGCCTCTTCCTGCTGCCCGTGCGTGTCGGAGTCCATTCGCACGTGCTGCAGCTGCCGGCTGCAGTCCTCCTTCAGTAGACAGCCGGGGGCAACTCATCCCGGCCGTAAACCTCCGAACTCCCCTCCACCGCCGCGCGGTCCAGGACTGCGCCGGCCCGTCCGGAGAGGGGAGGGAGGGAGGGATACCTGCCTCCCGCGCTGCCGCTCGTTAACGAACCCACCTCCGCCGCGCTCGTAACTCCGCTCTCCGCAGCCCTCTGTCGGGATCATGTCTGCCGCGTTCACTGTTCGCCTGCCCCGATCGTGGCAGTATATCGTTAGTTATTCATGGTACTGAAGGCTGCAAGCCGCAGTGTTCGGTAGACTGTTTATCATGACATGTCCACAGTGAGGTTGGAGTTATTTACGATGTTTCTTGGCCGTGGGATCACATACATTAGGATGTTTGTTGTTCATGCTTGTCTAAGGGTGTCTGTGAGTTTCCGTGATAGATGTTGAATATGTAATGAATGTTTTCAATCATTGATAATTTGCTTGTAACCCGAGTGCTAGAAGGAGGATGAAACATCTTATGCATTGCATTTGTAAGAATGACTGGCTGCCAACTTCTTATGTCATAAATAGAACAGCTTTTAGTGATTGCGCTTACCGCCACTTATGGTTAATTGCATGCACTTATGTTTGTTGCAGGCTGGAGCGACTGTTTCTTCCCGTTCGAGTACCACGGCACCTACGCCGTCCAGCGGGCGCCGAACGAGTACTCGGAGGTGATGATCGAAATCAACAAGATGCTGCCCTACGGCGCCTGTCACACCAGAGTAGATAACAACCTCATTCTCCAGGACATGTAAGTGAATCCAGGTCCATAATACATCATTATTTTTTTGTTAATTTGTCAATAAGTGGTTATTATCACCTGACATCTATAGGACCTTGTAATGAAATTGGATGCCAGCGCCGAACCATTAGCGCCCGAGACGACTGTATTTCTGCGTCAGTAATGATCACGTCTCCCGGCTCTAATGTCTCACTCACTGCCGGGAGTTCTTCTCACACGGAGAGCTACCATATGCCGCCGTGCCGATCGGAGCTGCCCAATGCCGTGCGATCGGCGGGTGTCGTCTGCCCGCGGCGGCGGCTTCCGGTCCCCCTAGCAGAGAGGGCCGGCGTGGCGGCCGTCCGGCCGTGTTTAAAGGCCCGCGGACGGTGGCACGCCGGCCAATTTGGCCAGTAATTGCTGGCGGCGGGAGGCTTTGTCGGAGAGCCGGTGGGTCCATGTGTTTTACGCCCGGTTCTCACGGGGTGTTCCATCCGGAACGGAACCGAAATGGCGTCTGATCGGCACAACAATAATTTATGTGCTCCTCTATTTAGTTGTTCCAAAGTTTGTCAGTTTACAAACGAACATTCTTCACTTTTACGTTTGTTCAGTAGAGGCACAAACTGCAAACATCTACTATTCTCAACACAATCTGGCAAGTAATATCAGCCGCAGGCGCAAATGGAAAGAAGAAAATAGACTAAAAACTACGATATGGGCATGCTATAATCTAGCTTCAATATTATGCACTGCCAGAAATTTCACAACTCCCAAAAATCTACGACTTGTCTATGTCTGCTATATGGCACGGTCCGGAAACACCTTTCAAATGAAACCGCAGCTAACAGCTCTATCAGTCAGCCACGACCCAGAGCGTTATCAGACACGACCTGGCATTGCGGTCATATGGTATCCGGTCAAAATCAGCTAATTATCCGGCGCGGGTGGTGAACGGTCCTGGCCGAAACACGTGCAGGATAAACTCGACACTGCGCAGCTGGGGAGACTGGGTGGCAGTCTATTGGAAATTTCCGATAACATTACCAGGAGCTATGGTAATTAAAAATGCCAGGAGCTCAGGTAACTAATCAATTCAATAGGAAATCAACACAATTACAATGCATGTACATTGTACTTCAAGCATGTGGATAGGAAATCGATCGGTAAACAATATGAGGTGAATAATGATGACATGTCCGGCCACTGGACAGTATAAACAAAACTTAGGACTGCGCTGCACTGGATGCGACATTATCAGAGCCCTCGGCTGTGAGTGGCTGCTTACAGGCGGTGTAATGGGATGGTGGTGTCTGTTGGACCACCGTTAATTGGTGATCGGTGTTCATCTTCATGTCTAGGTATCACTTTTTATTTGCCAGTTAGCAATCAAAACTTTGGCAATGTCATCGACGACTGATCAGATTAATAGCAATTATGTTGGGTTAAGCACTTGTCTGTGGTGACAGAGTCACAGTCGATCTCGAAAGAAACAAAAAGTGGCACTCCTTTGACTTTTCACAAGACAAAAGGTTGCATGACATACACAAAATAGTCGAGTGCAGAAGCAGATCTTTTGGAACGCTGGACTCGTGTTCCGTGGCTCTGACGCAGGAAAATCACTGAGCGTGATTCAACAAGTGATTATTGTGATTGCCATCAGTGCCGTGAGACATTTGGCCATAAATCAGCATATTGCAATCCGTCGCGACTCTTGTTAAAGCAGAATTTAGGAGCAGATATGGTAAAATGTTGAATGAGATGTTACAAAAGCGGAACTAACCGTTAACAATGGATACGATTTTCGGAGCTAAATGAGAAACATTATTAAGAATGTCTATCTTTAACTAAAAGTTATTCACCTTAGGCGTGATGAGCTAAAAACGACCAGCACTTACACTCATGCAACAATTTTTGACCCGACATGACCTTCCATTTGGTGACGCCACACGCTCGTGTTTCACAGGAGTAACGGGTGTCTGCGCTGCTTCCACCTGGCGATCCGCTCGGCCAATGTGCTGCAGCTTCACACGCGGGACCCCCAGAGCAGCTGCGCCACCCACATCGACAGCACGCTCAAACTGTGCCCCACCGTGGAGGAGATGAGCTCGCTGCGCACCACCGCCAACAGCACTGTCCACGAGCTCATGTTATACAGTGAGTCAGAGGCGGCATCAATCGGCTGCGGGATCGGTGTTTGACTTGGAGGTAACAGTTTGATGTTCCTGTGGGTTGCCTTTTCAGAAGTTTTATTTTGAACAAGATGAATGAACTTACCAATACTTATGTTCGAGTATGAATGATCGTGCCTGTAAATGCAGGAATGTTTTTTTTTTTGTCAGGCAATGAGGCAAGTAAACCTGGCACTATAAAGCGGGCATGACTTTCTCAGAGGATGAGTTAATGTTCATTTAAAACAATTGCTTACAAATGTTTCCCGCTCAACTTTGCTTATATCCGGACATGTTCGACTCGCTATTATAGTGCTATGTTGAGTCATACCACGCTGGGTGGGTTGCCGTGTGTGGTCCTGGACTTCTGTTCGAGCTCCTCCCCGTCCAGCCTCGCCCACTGATCGCCATCCAGGCTCCGCCATTCCCGTTTGAGCCAGCAGCGGCGGCGGTGGCGCGTTTTACGGGGCACTTATTTGCACGGTCTAATTGTGGGAGCTGCGCAGCCGGCCGGGCTGCTGGCGGGCGGGGACGTGCCTCTGCGGCTGGACCACTGTGACATCGCCGTCCGGGGCGGTCATGCAGGGACCATTAGGACGCTGACGAGCGACAAAGTCGAGTTGCCGCCGCTCACCACGCCGCCCGGTTGCAGGGGTGGTGATACGAGAGGTCGGCAGCACACGAACAAAGACGGGGAAGGAGTTGAGCGCGCATGGCAGTGAGTTGAGAAGGTGGTGACGAGCAGGGGCCAGCTTAACCCGGCCGGGCCCGGGGGGTAATCCCAACCACCGCAGCCCGGGGGGGGGCGTTTTTCGCCCCCCCCCCTGTCTAACTCCGTAAATAAGGGAGCTACGGAAACAAAAGCGATATCAAACGAAAGGTCCTTACGAGACGATTCTAAAGAACCTAAAATTTTTGACCTCAGGTCAATTTTCAAGGTCAGAGGTCAAGGTCAAAGGCAAAAACCGGCACATGTGTAGTGATCTCAAATTAAGCCTTCTAGAGGACGGCAGGCTGCATCAAACCGGTAAAATTGGGTGTCAAACGAAAGAAGAGAATTTGAGGATTCCGAAACTGTGCTCAAAATCAAAGGTCAAGGTCAAGGTCACGCTCAAAATTGACCTCAAACTTGGCACTTTTTCGCACATTTTGCGTGCTAACTTCCAAGATGTTTTGAAATGTTTTGAAGCTTATCAGTTCCCTATTTGTGGTTCATCTTACGATACAAGGCTGCTCAAAGGTCAAGGTCACAAAGAAGTATCCCTGCTAGAGGCTATTTCACTAATTCAAGTTAGTTATAATAAATAAGACAATTTTGCCATCTGGAAGCTCTAAATGAAGGCTAAGAGGAAAATAGATGCCAGATTCGTGATCAGCGGATACAAATACATCATAAACGACCTTTCATGTGTCAAGGTCAACCAGAGGTCATTCGAGGTCACATGAGGTCAACATAAAATTTGACCTTTTCCGAACAAAATATATATCATTCGACGCGGCTTGACAAGGCGAATGCGATGGTACTACTGCCGTAGCTCTAGGACCATTTTTGTCGAAGTTATTTGCGAAAAACTAAAACCACATTTCGGGGTCGTTGACCTGACCTCTGACCTCAGGTCACCAAAACTATTTTTCTATTTTTCTCTATGTCAAACGCTACACAACCGTGCTCGTAATTTGTCTTTATCTCTAAAACTCTATTTTTAGTAGCTATTTGAAGTTTACGTCTGTGACGCCGAAGTTTGCCGTGCAGGGGTCTAGAAAAATGGACCTTGTGACGTCATCAAGGGGGCTAGGTCCAAATGTTTTACTTCAGAAGATGTCAAATTGATGGGAGAAAAGGTACTGAAAGTTTCGCTTTCCTATCCCTAAGCGTTCGGGAGCTATCGCAAATATTCGCCAGGGGGGGCGAAAAACGCCCCCCCCCCCCGGGCCCGCGAGGGTTAATTATTTTTAGTTGCAAGTTTTCGGCAGTTCAAGCGCTCTTCATCTTAGAGCAAGGACTAGAAAAAGAAAAAGATCGTTAAGAAAACGTGGAAATTTCCGTTTACTTACATGCAGTAGATTGGCAATGAATGCTCTGAAAGAACACCTGTTCTGGTCCTGCATGCTCTCATACGGGTACGAATGTTTGTTACAGTGATCCCCCAGAAAGGATTGTATGTCAGGTCAGTCTTCTGTCTACTTTACGCGCGCTGACGTTACGATCATGACCATCATTTATCAAACGCTCACTTTTGTATGATTTAGTAATAAAAGCAATCACGACTGTGCATGTACATAATCAATGGTTTCTGACTAAATTCATTCAGCCGTGATAGATTTATTGTACAGCAACCCGGATGAAGCTTACGGCGAACACGTACCGTAGGCAGTTAAACACACATTGTGACCAGTGACGTCACGGTAGACTCCCGAACAGCTAATTGGCGAGATAACAAGTTGACTTCTGTAGATGTGGGCCTACACCTACCCAGGTAAAGGAAGGTAGCATAGCATATTGGGCCCAATTGTGTATTTCGCGCGAAAAAATATTGCAAGTTCAATCTTCAAGCTTCAACTTAGTAATTGTATTCGTGCGTTTTAATTCAAAGTTCCACTTCCATTATTACTTCAATTGAATAACTTTAATGCATTGCCACACTATTTACTTCAAATTAATGAAATTGTATTTTAGGAAATTAGTAGTAGTTGAGAAAGCCAATAATGAATTCGTACCATTAGCGCATATATCTTTCGTTGCAAGGCATTAGCACAGATCTAAGCAAAATGATCCCATTCATGACAGATAAATTAGAGAACGACTCTAAGCTATTAGCACTCATCCTGCTGAGGACAAGATAAAACGTCAAATCATGCGCTTATGACGCACATTCGGAGGATATGAATGAATTATAATATGTTGCTACATAACTTTAGCATTTCTTTTGTTTCGCTAGGCAATTCAGATGAAATCTCCAACAACATGCGCATCTCTTTCATCATACATTTCCTGGAACCTAGCGGAATAATTCATTGCGAGCTCTCAAAAACTGAGAACGGGCTGAACACCGTCCCCAGATCCGGTTTGGGGCGGATGTTGCTCGATTTTTCTCCGGGATAACTGCTCGTACTCCTCGGTCTGCTGGTGAGAAAGGTCCGATAGTATCACTGGAGTGTGACGGCACAGCCACGGCTCCGCACTGAAGTAGCCAAGGTCGTGAGACGAGCCGACATTGTGGGTGGACACGGGCATTAATAACGGCAACAATTAACCTTTCGTACCGGAATTGTTCACCGTTTTTGCTTAAATCTCAAACAGAGCAGATTTTTGCCGGTTCTCGAGTCCTTGCGCTCACCGAAGGAGTGATAAAGATGTTTATCATGCTGAGGTGTAGTCATTGGATATAATCCATTTGTAGCGAAGAAACCGTCAGATCATTAGTGGCTGGGAAAACCTACATCTCGGACAGTCCTCTTAACCCATTAAAGGCTACTAACTGGAGTCGGTGCAAGTACCTACAATATATCAGCAGAGCTTCGGGTACAGTTACTTCTGCCATTATTTACCAATATTACTCATACTTGCTTTTTAGAATTATACATATTTCATCGCATTCGCAATGATAAATCATGTAGAAGTGGCGAGGATATCAGATGTAGATAATTTCACTTTCACATCCGGTCCTATTCTTACCGGTGGCCGGAAACGGCATCGATAGATTACTTATCGCTTCCGCTGTATTTTTTTTTTTATTGCCTTTATCAAATATCAACTTCGGCCCTGCTCACCTTGCTATTAATTTAGCAACTCGACTCGATCGACTAGCGGTAGTTACCGCTAGGTGCTGTAACTGATCAATTTCCGTTGACCTTCCCCACAGAGGTGCGTTCACCCACGAACGAAGAGCACAAGCACCCGGTGTACTGCCCGATCAGCGGCCGCTTCTCGTTCTCGTACGACATCGACGACGGAACCGAGAGCGTCACCGAGTGCGCCAACTCGGACTCGCAGATCTCCAACTGCCCGCTCGGCTTCGGGCTCCACCTCAACTTCAACGGCTGCTCGTTCCGGCCCAACCTGAGTAAGTGAGGAGATAGCGGAGTCCTGAGGTGTTCCAGGCTCAGTCAGAGCAGGCCCAGTTGTAGATCGATCGATCAGAACTACGGATCGTTGTTCTGGCCTGGATTAGCCGTGTTCTGTGTTCTTGCGTTGGGCAGTTGGCACTGACTGATGTGACCGATAGTAGCGTTCAGTAGCGATCTGATTTTTCTTTTTAGATGAAACAGTGCTCAAACATGTTAGATCTACGACACAGTAGCTGTGAAGCGGGTCTCAGTGGGACGATTCGTTTGCAGATATGACGTTCGAGTGTCTGGGAGACTGGAGGGACAGCAGCGGTAACAGCTTCGTGGCGCTGCTGGACACGGGCGCGGCCGACGACAAGAGGCCCCGATATCGGTGTGCGGTAAGTAACCAGGCTGTTCCTCGGCTGCGTGCCTTAATTTCATATACCTTCTGATTATGCAACGAAGCGCATGAAATCTTGCACAATTATGCACTCAATAGCATTTTCGTCTTTTTATCAGCAGTTTTGTTATTCCAGAGATAGCGACGACGACATGGACAAACCAAACCAATGGTTCCTCTAAACGAGCCCATCAGCTCAAAGCTCTGCAAGCTCTGTAGCGGTGTCCAGCTGTGAGAATTGGCTAGCTATAGGGCTGCCATGTCACTGAATTATAAGGGATTAACATTCTTCTCTGCCTACCAGCTAATCGCTGCTCACGATGTAATTGCAAATGCATTTAATGGTGCTTATTAAAGTAGCGGTCACAACAACATACATTAACAGCAAAAATAGAGCATCCTGATAAGGTCTCTGCAGTTATCCAGGTCCATTATTTCACCTTAATTTCAAAGCAGAATGCTTATGTCGCTGTTATTTTGACTGGTTAGTTGATTCCCACTTCTTGCCGGCACATCCAATCATTTTCTAAACCGTGTTTACCCGCGAAGCCAAACGACTGCCATCTTCGTCAGACCTCGTTGTCATGACTCCTTTCATTAGGAGCGCTCCGCGCCGCCCCCGCCGGTTCACGAACCGCTCGGCAGTCACGGCTGCTGCTGCGCGGCGCAGCCCGGGTCGTGAGGCCAGCCCCCGGCGCTCGGTCAGCCGCGCACGAGTCCACCACCGGTGACGGGGCTTCGTGTCCGCGCCAGACGAGCTCCGTGACTGGTCACCAACGGGCGTCACGGGGTCTCCAGAATCGGGAGAGCGGTGCCGAATTCTCGAGAGTGGCTTGGCCGAAAGGACTCGGCGACGGGGGCTTGGACACAGGAAATTGGAGACAGAGGGTCGATTGAGTTGAAAGAAGGGCTTGATGAAAATGAAATGGTGTCAATTCATCCCGAGTGTTCATTTTGACAATCATAAAGGTCTCGCATGGCTGAAAGATGGGTGTCAAGACATAAGGGACAAGGCTGGAAGATAAATGGCATTCAACGTCTCTTGCGACAGATTTCAAATGAGAGATGATTAAAAAAAGCGCACCCTGGATGCAACTTAAAATTTTGTTTTGAATCTATGACCTGAATCTATCTATAGCACTTAATGATCACTGAAAGGCTGAACTGTCAATAGACTGAAGATTGAGCCAATATCTACCAGTTTGATCGCTGATAATTCCTGCAGTTCAGCACCTTCTGCAGCACCTCAGCGTCCTGCACATCTCTCATTATCTTGCCGGATCTCTCTCATCTCGGTCTCATCTCTCCGTCCCATGCAGCCCTCCCATTATCTGCAGCCCGGCGCTACCCCGGCCCGTCCGCCGGCGGCACAGCACCGTCTGTTTACCTCCCCACCGACCGACAGATGCAGAGATAGAGCAGTACGCTCCATAAGCGCCCCGTTATCGCTTCATTCATTGCTGAGTCGGCTTCCGGCGACTGTGAGGGCGCAGGAGGGGCGCAGGGACGGACCGGGGCGCGGTCAGTCGCGGCTCGACACCGCGGTCATCGCGGCTCTGATGGGCGCTGATAGGTGCGCGCGCGCCGAGCCGGGTCACGCACCGCACTCAACGACAGACATTCACGATGTAGAACTTTCACTTCAACGCGACCTTAACAAAATATATGAATATGGTCGAGAATGGGCAATCACATTCAACACAACAAAAACAGTCCAGCAAACATTTTCACGTAAAAATAATTTCATAACACCACGTCTCACATTTGGTGGGAATCCCATACCCATTCATGAAAATCACACCCACCTGGGATTGACATTCTCCAATGACCTACATTTTCACCATCACATCAACAAAATTTGCAAAAAGGTCAACAAAGCATTAAGCCCACTATATCCAATTGCACAATACGTACCCAGGCCCATTCTCGACCAAATTTATAAGACATATATCAGACCACACTTCGACTATTGCGACACAGTATACGACGGACATATCACGACACACGACGCCATGCGACTCGAGAGACTACAAAACAGAGCGGCAAGACTTGTGACAGCAACCTTATTTAGGACACCAACGGACAAGCTTTTACTCGACTTAGGGTGGGATAGACTATCGACAAGAAGACGCATGCATAAAATAACACTTTATCACACATTTAACGGTCACGACGAGCATATACCACACTATATAAAAATGATAATGCCGCACACACGCGCTGAAAATACCGGACGAATCTTAAGAAACGCCAGTGCACACACAACGACGCCTAGCCGCACCACTTCTTACTACAGTTCATTTTTTCCATCGACAGCTAAATACTGGAATGATCTCCCTGAGTCCATCCGATCCCTGACACGAACATCCTTCAAAAAGACGATTTCTGAGCGGCTGGGGGTGACCAAGCCTCCAAAATTTTACATAACTGGGTCTAAATTAGGAAATACTCTGCACACAAGACTAAGAACCGGAATGAGTCGCCTTAACTCCCATCTCTTCCAAATTCAAAAAAGTGAAACGTCTGTGTGTGCTTGTGGCTTTCCAAGCGAGAACGTTCGGCATTACATTCTAGACTGTCCATTATTTGAACCACTAAGGCTTGATTTGTTTCAAACAATATACGATCAATTAGGTATTGAGTTCAATGTAATTTCTCCAAAACAAAAACTTGACATTCTGATTTACGGTGAGACTCTGGACGATGAGAGCGGCAGCGTAGTCGCACATCTCTTTCAAAAATTCATTTTAAAATCGAACCGATTTACAGCTCACTGAACAGTACGACATTGACCTAGGGGATCAGGCCGCGGTTGGTCGTGGCGCTCCGGGCTGACCGTGCTGTGGCTCGCGCACGCTGCTCTACTGCTCGGTGTCTGTCGTGGCGGCGACAGCCAACTCGTATGCTTTATGTTACGCCTGTCAATGTTTTTCTATAGCTCATGCTTAGAATCTCATCTGGCTGGAGTTTTTTTTTTCGTTTGTTTGCATTTTCTTTCAGAGTGATGCTTAAACTCAAGCGCTCTGCGCTTTTGCATCCCTCTGCCTCATTCTTCCGGAATCTTTCTGTCTCTGCTAATAAACATTGTGTGTGTGTGTGTGTGTGTGTGGTCTGTTTTTGTCACTGCGATCGGTCCGATCCCCGGCCCTCAGACACGACCAGCCACTTAGCACCGGCCATTCACCATCCTGGCTCCCTGCGCAGGGTGCAGCGAGTATTTTTCAACTCCGGTGGGCTGGGCCGGCTTTGATACGCGGCAGTCCTGTGTTTTCCGGGGTGTGTAGGAAGCAGCTGCCGGCTGGACATGGGTTTCGAAAGGGTTTGAGGTCGTCAGTGACGCTGGGCACGTCTCCAGTGACCTCACACGCCGGCTGCCGAGAAGACGCCACTGGGGAGTGTCGTCATCTCTAATCCGACACCGAGTGTCTGTTGTTGATCAATTATCCGCAGGGACGGACGTAGACTCTCTAGGTGTGTCAGGCATTGTGTCTCGTTTCGTAAACTTATTTGAATGGCTTCAAATGAACAGAAAGAAGAGGCTGAGTTCACGTTCACTCTCGACCCGATGGTATCAACGCAACTTAAACCTTTACCACCGAGCAGTATCGATGTGTGTGTGACCACTGATGTGTAAACTGGCCACTCTATGTATACCTCACTTATTTTCCTTTCAATGGACGGGGATCATATGCCATTTGGATGCCATCACGATTATTTTGTCAGGAAGTATGAGGCTGGCGTAGAAACCAGCGATATTACGAGGTAGCCGCTGCCTCCTGAGACAAAGGTGACCCGAGGACATGCTTTCTGAGGAACAGCAATGCAGTATCGTGACAGGTGCGAGGTGAATCGCTCCCGCCAGACGCTATTACATGGAAAGCGGCAATTATTGAAAGGCTGATTTCCTTTTCTCGTTTATCAACCATGCTGTCAGACGGGAGCTTTCCGGCAGAACGGCTGAAGTTATGCATTTCAGACCCACCCATGCTCGAGGAAGGAAGGAAAGTTTTCCTCAGCGGCATAGGTTTCGAATTGCAGTCTGGTGACATTATCGATTGTTAGTTGTTGTTTGCTTATATGTATGTTTTTTATGGGCGCCGACAACGCATTGGTAACAACTTATACCGAACTTTAATTTCAATGTGCCATCAAAACTGGCACAATCATTGTATCAGCAACCGTTAACAGGCATAATGAATAGCCTTTCTCTGAAAAGCACCATTAAAACCGATGAAAAATTGTCTTTTATGCGCCTGTGTGGCTCAAACCTTCGAATCCATATCCTCTTCGTTGTCCTCAAACACCGGCCGACTCACTTCACTGCCCACCCTGCCACGCGAGCACCAACTCCATCGTTCCCCTCGAGCGGCCCGACTTCCTCCGTGGCCGGGCGACCCCCACTCCCCTCAGCCGCCCCCGCCCCCGCCCCCGCCCCCGCCGGACGACGCCCGGTGCACATGAGCAGCGATCGGAACCAGCGGAGGCAGGTGTGCCCGCGTCGTGCCCCGCCCGCTCTAACGACGACCGGTCACGCGTCGCCACGGTCCGAAGAGACGCACCGCCGCCGCCGCCGCCGCCCGCCCGTGGCTAAAATTTGGATTTTTCGCACCAGCACGCAGCGGACGCGCGAGGGCTGGGGAAACTGATGGGCAGGGCCAGTTCGGCATTGTTCGGGTTTGATTGGTGAAAGGTGGGCTGTTCCGAGATGCGAGGTGGTGCAAAAACCGAAACAAAAGGTGGCGTGATTCACGTGATTGATGAAATGAGCTCGTGTAGCTTCAAAGATCTCTCAATGAAGTTGTCCAGCGCTAAACCGAACAGCTCAACATTTGGCGGCATCTCAACTTGAAATACGACTCTGCGTTGCGGCCGGCCGCCAACCGCCGTCGTCGAAAACAACAGGAAGTGCGAAGTCCACGTCCTGCCGACAGCGGCGCGTTGAATGAAGCCGCCGCGAGGCGAATGGCGGCCGCCAGATGGCGTCGGCAACGTCATTAAACTCTCTGCGATGATGGAGAGTATTCAGCAGGGCGGCGAGCGGCTGCCGCCGGACGGAATGTCGGGCACCAGGTGGACCCATGTCGATAATTGCCACCCGCAGATTCTCGGCCCGCCCAGCCGCCCCCGCCCCCGCCCGTCGGCGGCCGCCGCACCGGCTATTTGGCGCCGGCACACAGAGAAATGGCGTGAGTTCTGTCAACAGGCCGCGCCGGCGCCGGAACAAGACTGTACGTCGTAAGCGTCTCGGCGTCGGGCTTCGATAACGGTTGTCCCGCCGGTAGAGTGTATGTCGGGGCGGTGTGCTGGTCCGGCTGGTGACCGTGACACCGGAGGCGGACGGTCCTCCCGGAGCTGCCCGACAGAGTGAATATTCATGTCTCCGGCCGGGCTCGGAGGGCCGGCCAGTCGGCGACAGGAAATTGGCCCGATACTTGGACCCGCTCCGACGGATGGGACAGATGACCGCACTGTAATTAGAGCTTCCTGCGTGAATTTTCACCGGTCTCCTGTGTTTGTCAGCTCTCGTGGCGTCGACTCGAATGAGCCCGCACACATGGCGTCCTGAGGGGCGTTGGGATAAATGGGTGTTGACAGCTGACAATAAATACACTGCTGTGCAGCTTGCATACTTAATTCTTTTGCTGCATAGGCTGTGGCATCCATGAATTCACACCCACTAGATGTGTTCAGGAGTTATCTCGCTCGGACGCGCATGTCAATGACCCGGGTGTTGGTGTCTGCCCGGTTGTCGATGGCGCCGCGTGGAGTAGTTCCGGTAGCCTATCCATGACATCGGGTAACTGTGCATGTCTGACCGACTGGTTGAATATTCCACACCGCCGGCCGCCGCCGCCCGGCCGGTCGGTCGGTTGCATCATTGATGTCGTGTCGGTCAGCCGTACAGATGTACCGGAAACAGTCCGCCGCTGACCGCTGACCGCTGACCGGTGTGTCGGACGCTGACCGGTCCGGAGTGTCGGATGCTCTCTGACGTCCCCGTCCCCGTCTGACTGTGTCTGTGTGTCTGTGTGTCCGTGTGTCTCCAGATGTACCGCAAGGAGGCCAGCACGGGCCGGATCTACGTGGCGCTCTCGTCGGACTCGTCGTGCCACCGTCACCTGGAGAGCGCCACGCGCGGCTACGAGCGGCTCGTGCTGCAGCCGGCCGACACTCGGCCGTGGCCGCTGGCCGTCCGACAGGCCACCTGCACACTGCCCGACTGGGCCCAGGGCGTCTGGCAGCACTCGCACGTCGACGGCGACACCATGGTCTACAAGGACGCCAAGAACTTCAAGACGCACACGACGCGCTGTGTGGCGCAGCATGACCAGGAAAAGTTCGTCATCTACTCCCGCTCCCAGTGGTAAGAGACCACCCAGTGTTACAAATGACCCGACAACACCCCAGCGGGCGACACAGCCAAACTGTGATTCACGAGGGTTAAAACTCGGAACTTACATAGTACAAACTGGGACCTCTTCGTGAGATGCTTTGTAAACAAGCCGCTTAGTGTTGCTCGGCGTGCTGGCCAGTCTTTTCCCTGCGATTTTTATCACGTCTGAGTTGTAGTTATATCCTAGCATGTCGGCCGTCCGGTTCCCCCAAACGCCGTGTTGTCGCCAACCACCCTGGACATTCCTCGGCACCCATGTGTCCGCTTTCCGTCAGAGATGGCACGTACGATACCGGACGTCTGTCAGTGTGCCGGTGGGCACGTGAGGCTGAGCAAGACGGATGAATGTCTGCAGATGTGTCGACATTAACACGTTCCCTAATCTTGCAGCGGCGAGGAGTCTTACAAGTGCATCTGGCTGAAGTACAGGGGCACGAACGTCATGGAGTTCCAAATAGGTACGCCGTCGGGTGGAATTGACCTCGGGGTCTTTTTTGTGCAGATTGTTCCACCTCTCATTCTTTCTCAGAGTCATCAGTACTCGGGGACATAAAAGTGTCAGCCGAAGATCCTCTTATCGATTCGCTTTGCGTGACGCCTTGGGCGACTTCTTTTTGCCTTCATTCACATACATGCCACGGAAGCCTGTCATTTGATGAATGAAAACCGTCCGATAGATCAAGTCGGCAAAAACTGGTCCTATAAAACATAGTTGAGGTTCGACCTGCCTCCGTTTTGCTCCAGATACGGTCATGTGACTGGTTGGTGATTATAACGATAAGGGTACTTACCGCGCCATCATTTAGCATGGGTACTCCAGAACCGTCTTCACACACCATTTTATGATTTCCCAGAATTTCGTACTAGCATGTCGTCATCCTCAGCAAAGTAACTTAGCTCTAGTCTCTTCCATAGTCATCCTGCACGTATGTCGTGACAAATGTATACAGCACCAACGCTAAAGCACCAGGTATTGGAGGCCACTCGGAGATTTTGGTGTATTAAGTGGGTCAGGAGAGGGCTCAGGCATTGGCTTATAGCATATCTTCGTCAAATGATATGTCTCCTTCCTCTCAGGTATCATCTTTATTCGTGCGTGAAATTAATGTAAATGCCGCTGTTTTATGTTGCTGAGCTTCACCGTGAGGTGCCAGTGTTGATAGGTACGCTACTCTCCTGTGCTATGTTGTGACACGCTGCGTCGTTGCACAATGTCTCTATGGTGTGTGAAGTTCCGCTGAGTTCGTGTCTAAAGTATGACGCTTGTGCTGCTCTGGCAGGCTCCAGTCCCAGCGACAAAGCTGACGATGATCTGTGCGCCGACCACTGGTTCCTGGAAACCGACTGGATCACTCAAGGAAGTGAGTACTCTCTTCACCCAGTATGAATTAAAAGGGAAATGGAACCCATTGAAAGGGAAATGGTTTATTTATAGCGTAACGTGGATGAATACTAGATCTTATGTCTGTATTTGTACTGAAGTAAGTAAAGTGAGTTTTTTTACAAAGTAAAAAGGTATGCTTTCAGCATAAGTACAATTTATAATGTCCGGAATGAAAATGGTCATTGCGCTGATGCAAAGTCGTTCAACACCTTCTTAGCATTACATATCTGCAATCTCTAGAGATATATCCTTACATCCTGCTTATATTCACAATTATATATAATGTGACTGCATTGCATCCTGGAGACCGCATCGTTGCATAACGACAACAACCACTACTACTGGCTTTGGAAAGCCACAAAACCACAAACACTTAACCGAAAGAAACACAAGTCCCCGCCTTGAAGCTGTCACGTTCAGAAGCATGTACTTGTAGTTTGGAGTAAGCCGGTGGCTGGATGTCCGCACGCAGTATAACGCCATATCGGAGACTGCATTTGTGCATGCAGTATAACACCACATCGGAGACTGCATTGGTGCATGTAGTATAACACCAGTTCGGAGACTGCATTGGTACGCGTGACAATAACACCAGATCGAAGACCGCATATTGTTCATTGGGCATGCAGTATAACGCCATATTGGAGACTGCATTTGTGCATGCAGTATAACACCAGAAAGGAGACTGCATTTGCGCATGTAGTGTAACACCACATAGGAGACTGCAGCTGTGCATGTAGTAGGTATAACACCGAAATTTGAATAGATGTATAGTGTGGGTGTGCAAGTAGTTTATATCGGAAACTCCATTGATGCATGCAGCACAACACCAGATCGGAGACTGCATTCGTGCATGTAGTGTAACACCACATCAGAGACTATTTGTGCGCGCATATCATCGCCTTTCACTATGCCATGCCAGCCATTCATGAAATATTTACTCGACAATCAAAAGCTATGGGCTGCATGCTACGGGTTACCCTGCATCACCGTAATGGGTATTTAGTTCTACAAAAAAGGAGCATTTGGTGACCTTTACGTGACAACCTTTACGTTGGTCTGACTGATGTAAACTTTTGGCGAGATTGGTAGGTATATGTATGTGTAAGTCGCTCTCAAGGATTTGAGCACTGAGAGTCTCGCCGTGTCCCGTGTTTTAATGCCACGCTGCGTCCTCTCACGCTGAAACGACTCTGTACCTACCAGAGCACCACCGGGGGACACAACACAGATGACAATCTGAACAGCATTCTTTTCATTAGCCAGGTCCCATCTGCAGCCCAGTTGATGGTATCACCATCGAAACAAACAGTAATGGCTTCATTTGTCTCGAGGGATGCTGATGGCCGCAAAACATCGACGTTTTTAAACAGGTTTCAACTTGTTTGTGGTCTCATTTTAATTACGAGTGATAGAAGATGAAACGATTCTATTGTTTTCTCGTTTGTGAAAGAAATTTGAATTGAAAGGCATCCCGAACATTGGTAATGTGCTTAGGCTTGATAATGCACCTACGTGATTTTTAAGTTACAAGAACAATGAGCAATTACCTACAGAATCATCGGTTATTCGTAAGAAAGAAATACTCTTTATTGGCATTCAAGTGCTATTTATAGAAGCACCGCTTCGTCAGCTAAGGAACTGACAAACGTAGCCGGATAACAGAGAAGACATTGGCTCCGAGTGATGTCGGAGTCTGTGCTCAGCTCACGATCGTCTGCTGACGCTCCGAATTCAGACACCGTTTAAAGATTACAGCTGTTAAAACTACTGTTTACAAACCATGTCAGACAAAACCGTTGTCCTGTAAGGCAATTAATTTAGGCCGCTGTTCCAATACACCGGATTCCGCAGTACTTGTGTGACTTCCTACTGTGAACAAGCGACACCCAATGTTCGACACAAAAGGGTTCTTCCTTGGACGGACCCAGCTTATAAACCCCACAACAGTTCAAAGGAATTGTGATCACCGGCCCAATCTAATGACCTGTTTACGGGCAGCAAACAGCTAAATGCGTAGCGTGTGATTCATGCCTAGCTTTACATTCCGCATTGGTGGACGCCCGTCCCTCCCCAGTAACCACCCGTGTGCCCCCGACAGAGGAGAAGCCGATGGAGGAGTCACCCTGTCCGGTGTCGGGCGAGTACCAGGGCGTCATCCCCGATACGGACGACCAGCTGGGAGCCAAACTCTACTCGGACTGCAGCAGCCCCGGAATCATGTTCTACAGCGTCCTCAGCCGTGGCAACCACTCCCACATCTATGAAGGTGAGAAGTTAAGAACAATATTCTTACAGTGAGAGAAGGCGGGGTGAACGGCGGAGTTTCTCGTGTTCTGGCGGCGCCGATCGTGGCGCAGTGATCAGTGATGTAGAGAGAGTCACGCAAGATGCCAGTCACGCGGTGAAATTTCGTGCGTGTCATGATGTAGGTACTACTCACATGAAAATCTACACTGTTGAAACTGTTACTCGTAAGTTGCAGAAAAGTGAAGTGCGGTTTCATCCGACGCGGTTTTATACAAGCAAACACCCTTATAACCCGTCACGGAAAGAAAGATAATAATAATTGCATAGTATGTATAGTACCCATAGTAGTATTTAGTACAGGCATAGCATGCAAATGACAACGGTGCGGGTTTTTTTTCTTCTTGTAGATAGCGTATATCGGTTATAGTTAATTACTTCTCCATTATTCCAAGAAAAATTTGCAATAAATCAGCATATCTCTTCTGCCCTTTCGCACTGCACACGATTGTCAAAATCAGAATGGCTGCACATTCCAGCCATTGCCTTCCCACGGCCCAGTTCAGTCGACCTGCCGCACTGTTTCTGATGTTGTCTCGGTCAGCCGCCTTACAGCTGCTCTGTTCTCGTCTCAGACTGCAGACTCAACTGTTTTCCTGTCCTCCCACGCGATAAAAATCGCATACCGACTGTCCGAGGCTGAGCCGGTTTGTAGAAGAAGACAAGGTGAAGCAAGGTCGCCTGTTTTGTTTATCTTTCGTATAGAACTATAGACTTATAGTGTTCCTTTGTTAGGTGGAACCAGAACATTGTCGTGGGCAGCTTAGGTCAGTGTCCAATTTAATCACACTTATTACAACTTATTATGAACGAATGACGTGCGAAGTTAACCACCAAATTTTAAATCAAATTACAATTCCGAATCATATCTGGGCCCATAACATGGTCTTGAAGGTAGCCGTGAAATGCGGTTTTGTGTATCTCAAGATCACTCCAATGATCCACAAAATTGTCTATTCCAAACCAACATCGTGAACACCGTTTAATGAAATTGAATCGGCGCATTCATCCAATAATACTGTATCTCTAAGTCACTCTCAGCCGACCAAAGAAACAATGAGGACCGTTTCCTGTTGATGTCAAATTTTCGTGAACAGATCATCTCGATAATATCCGAATCAACTTGCTTGGTTGTAGCATAAGAATAAAAACTAAAGGTCGACTTCACGGAGTTTTATATAGGGAGGTAGCACATGTAACTTTTCTATTTGGCCTTTCTGCGGTTCGTGACATTTAACGCTTCATATATAAAATGCTAGAATGATTTATCAGCATCACGTAGAGGTGACACAGGGCATGGAGGAAATGGCACGTGTGCTCAGGGAAACAAGTGGCCCATATATCTGACTGCAGCCGCCGGATAAGAGAGGGATAACGATCGAGGCCTGCTTCACGACTTGTGGCTACTTCATCTTTTAGCCAGAAACATCGTGACCCCAGCCAGCTTTGTTAAGCGATTATCATTCTCGTTACGAGCCGCTGGCACATGAGTAATTTCAACAATTGACGTCACATTGTTAAACCGATAAGGCCGTCAGTTGTTATCTCCTACATTAATTTACCTCTCGCGGTCGCTATTTAACGGTTTCGCGTAGACGTATCGTGGTTCATTACAACGAATTTTTTCGATAGCATTTGAAGCTGACTGGCATTTTATACAGAATCGTGCGCATTGTATCCCAACAGACATCTTATCGCTTCGGCTTGTCGCTCGCTCCCAGGCTTCCACTTCCCTCGCAGTTTCACTTCCGGAGGAGAACGTTATGAGATGTCGTTCTAAAACCAATGCATACTTTCCAAGCTGGGTAAATATGTTTTCATCTATGAAATTGAGCAACAGTGGCATCAGTGTCTTCTCGGTAGGTCAGGTTGAGTAATGACATTGTGTGAGAACAAGAAAAGCTTCCCATCACAGTCCCAGAGGTAATCACGATTTGGCACAATCACAATCATGATCATATCGCATGATCTCTTATCAGTATTTTGATTACCGATATAAATCGATAAAGGTGCGTGGCGGCGTTAACTTTCAATGACCCCAGGAGAGGCGCCTCACGATGCATCTCAAGGCACGCCCTCGGCCGAGTGTCACCTCTCAGAAAAACGACCGGCATTGTCCTCTAGCCTCCGCTCTGAAGCTTTCCGATTGTGGCGCCTCTGCCGCCAATCACTGGCGGGCCCGCCGCGCGGCCGGCCGTCGATCTGTCATCCTCGCGGCGGTTTTTGTCACCATCACCGGGCTGAAGCGTGACGGCATGACTGAGAGCCACTCCCACGGTTTTTGGCCACCGCGGAGCGCCGGTGATCGGTGTGTGCCGACTGCGATCGGCCGGCCATCGGGCCGTGTTTTTACCCGCGGCGCCGCCGGCCTTGGCAGCAGTCCGTGTGGACGGGCCGCCGCCGCGCCGGGCGCTGCGCGTTTTTCTCGCTCTCGCGGTCGCTCTGTCGCGCCGCCGCCGCTGCCGCGCGGAAAAGTGCCACCGTCAGGCCGGCGTGCGTTCCGGCTCAGAAGGCGACCACGACGGCGCCGACGTCGGTCACGTCCTTCGCCGCCGGGGCTGCGCGCGCTCCCCCCCCCCCCCCCCCCAACGGCGTCATCGTGGAGTCGTGAACGACGGAACGGTGCCGATAACGACGGGAACGACGAGACGGCGCTGAGAGAGCTGGGTAACGTCTGAGGGAGTCAATGAAATGCTCGACACCTATGCGGTCGCGGCCTGAGGGAGCCGAACAGAGGGAGCCGGGAGGGCAAGAGCAGTTAACAAATGAGATAAATCAATTTTGCCATTTTATCTTAGGTCAGTATACATTCAATCAGAGAATATCGGGTAAACCGTGATCGAGTTATAGGGAAATAGGATATTCAACAAGCAACAAACAAGCAGACAGACGGTCTTTAGCGATATGTATAATAAAACAAGCGTCACATTTTGTTATGCTTTCCCGCAACCCGCTACTGTGCTTGTAGATTGCCTGATTTGCTCCTAATCACCGGTTTCTTTAAACAATAGCATTTATAATGGGATGTTCAATAAAAATCACTTACTTGAAGACAAAAGGAAATCGATCAAGAACCAACGTTCCTTTCAATTAGGAAAGCGGTGCCACCGAAACCATGTTGAGCTGTATGAGAGCACAAATCGGTGAAGATCGAAACATCAATATTCTGTGCCCAGTGTTCAGCTTCCCACAGAAATAAACCATATACAAGACTCATGCCTGCACGATGCATGCATATTACGGCGTACGTAATACATCTGCATGAACGGATGCAGCAATTCAATCTGAGATAGTTAGCAGGACACTGGCTGAATACATTGGTTGACTGAGTGCCGGCAGCCGGGCATACGATCAGCAGCTGCCTCTGATTTCCTTCAGATTACATTCAGCACCGGAGAAAAACGATAGCGACGCCCTTCCGGCTTAGCCTCTGTCGTGCTCGCGGCGTTAGAACCAGAATTCGGAGTTGAGCTCGCTTCCTGTGCTCGCGACATAACGCACCATTGTTTGCTGTGCAGCTGAAAACTTTACGGCCGCTTTAGGCTCACGCTCGTGCCAACATAAGCTCCGGGTGAGGTCGACAGAAAACTGTGCGGCCTTGCAGCAGCCTCGCAGAAAACGAGCAGATCACGTCTCCGCCGTATCAATGCAAGGGGACGGAGCCTGGAAGGACAATGCATGGGCTGCCGGAGAAAGATCGGACAGCAAATTCTTAGTCATAGACCTCTGTATATACCGGTGTCTATGTCTATGCCTACAAATGTCTATGCCTCAGTCAATAGTTGCAAATCGCAAATCTGGCGGACAACGAAAAAAGTCGACCTTGTCGCCTTTCCAATGCTTCAGCCTAACACGTATCCTTATCACACTATCGTAAATCAAAGACTTAGGAGGTCAGTGTAAAATTTGTCTAAGCTCCCTCTCACATAGCCACAGGTGACTGACGTCATCCGTTACCCAGTATTGACAAATCCTGCTGCATGGATCGTCGTCAGGTCTTTTGGCACCGTTTTCATGTCGGGGCGTGAACCATAAAGAGCCCGATCATGCACCATTCCGATCGAATGTGGGTCGCCGAAAAATGCGCTGCCGGCCGGGCGACCGTGGCGCGACCGCACGAGCCGGGGGTCGCGCGGCGGCGAGACGCCGTCACTGCAGTTGGGTAACGCCACGACGGCCGTCCGATCAGTCACCAGGGCTGTTAAAGCAGCGCCGGCAGCACGCCGAGGTGATATCATCTGTCGTGGAGCCGCTCACCTGTGCTGCAACAGCCCGGGCCGTCACTATAAGTATACGGCGGTGTGTTATTGGTGCTACAGGCGCGATTAGTGCTACAGGCACTAATCGGACAGCTGCCTTAGGATACGGCCTGTCATACCAAACGTCTCGTTTTTCTCAGCATGAACATTGGCTCCCTACGTAGTACGTATGAAGCATGTATTTGGAAAGGGAACAACACGTCTGGCAATTGATGTGCATTCCACATGCGTCATGTGTGTCTAGTGCCCCAATGACGGAAAACGATCGGATATGTGAATTGAAATTTGAACACGATTAATTAGCGTTCATATGACTACATCATCGACTTCGTGAGCGGTATCAAGCGTCGAATAAATCACTAACCGTATGTCTCGCCATCTCTCCCGCAGAGCGCGAGTACCGGTGTCTGGGCACGTGGCACGAGGGGGACGTCATGTACACGTACACCCAGAGGAGAGACGTGTTACTGTACGAGTGTTTCGCCGGCCGGGTTATGGCCGATGGTCGTGTCTTCATCGGCGAGGCCGGCACCGACGAGAGCTGCCGCAGACGCATCGACCCCACGCGGACCGGCATGCTCATCGATCAGATAGGTAAGATGGTTCACTGACCTGTGTGCATGGAGTTTGTGCCCTCGTTAGATATGCCGTCATTGGCACGTTTAGAAGTTGTAAGTGGTGCAAATGAAGAGTTTAATGTGTATTCACCACGTTCTGTTATTGTGACTACAGAACTGGGGCTATTAATTTTTCTGATAAATCAGCCTGGGAACGGAAGCTTTTGCCTATATCTGATCGTGTTTACTTCTGTAGGCTTAAAAAATCAATACCAAACCCCAGGTGAGGTGAGAAAATGCAGACATGACAATCATCCTCTCATAGTTGTAAAAGAATAACTGTAGAAGCTAACAAAAGTACCGACATGGCCAATTTTTCTTTAATGTCACCATTTGTGCATTCCTTTCTGGTTATGCATAACACAATGCACCATGTTAGCGTCTTACATTGCATATTGCACATGCGAATTCACAGAACAGCTCAGGCTGCTACATTCAACAGAAACATATGTTCCAGGTGTTAAAAAAAACTCAGAAGGCATCTCATGTACCAGACACCCCGACACCTCGTGAAGGAATGTACAGGGGCACAGAGCCTTTCGGCGGATTACGCTTCCAGTGTGACATTTTCCCCGCATGAAGGTTTTCCGCGATCAGTTTGCCGACTTTGTTGACTTTTCCGTCCTGTCTGGGACTGCCCCCGGTGATTCGGTTGTTGATGTTTACCGTCTCCGCCGACAGCCCCGTGCTACAGTACCGAGGAGACCGGCGGTGAGCCGCGGAAGAGCTCGATACCGCCGCCGCTGCCGGTACCGACGCAGACCGCCGACACGACCCCGGAGCTGCCGCGCCGGCGACCGGACCGGCCGGCGAGCACCGACCGGCCGCCCTGGGACCCCATCACAGGTGGGACGTGGGTGGTGCAAAGACACCGTCACAGGTCAGCTCAGGGCTCACCATAAAGCCGGTCCAGCCGAGCTCATCCTCAACAAGATCAAAATTAGGCCCTACTTCGAGTACCATGTTTTGCCCGACTTTTGCAATTTCCATCATCAAGGGACAACAAAGCACAGGCCAGAATCCTCTTCACCGGTTGGCTGCAGGCACAGACCAACAGCCAAACACCTATCCCACGATCCTACCAGAGACCGTCGTATACTTCGACTACATCGCAATCCACCTATACGACTGCAACGCTTGATAGCCCCGGCCAATCACCCTGGAACCATATAGCGGCGAATCGCCACCATCAACCGGGCTCCCGGGGTCCGTGGCAGGTCACCGTTCACCGTGTGCCAAGTCACGGAGCCGGAGCCGGCGCTCTCTCCCCGGGAGCTCCAATAAAACGCCACACGGCCGGCGGCCGGACGACCGCTGCCGTCTGTCCCCGGGGGAGTGGCCGGCCTCGTAAAGCCCGCCGTCTCCGGTGGGGACGCGCCGCGCCGGGAGGGCAGCAGAGGGAGCCGGACGACGGTGGGCGGGGGCCGGTCGTGCCACTATTATTGTCTCTGATGTACGCCCACGGTCCGCCGGCCGGTCGCCTCGTAAACTGGGATCAGCGAGTCCGTGCGCCGGCTTCAGTGTCGCAGTCGGCGGTGCCGATTGCGATCTGACCTGGCGATCAAAGCGACCGACACTGACCGCGCGTGATCGTTTCAGCGCGGCCCGGAGACGAGGACGACAGCGGCGCTGGCGGCAGCGGAGGTGGTGGCGGCAGCGGCGCCGGCGGTCTCCAGGGGCTGCCCGCAGCACTGCTGGCTGGCAGCGTGCTGGTAGTGGCACTGTTGAGGCTCTAGTCTCGTCGGAAGTCGATTTGTCTGAGCTACAACGAAGCACCCGTGCGCTGTGCCGATGGGGGACCTTCCCTGGCCCGGGCTTGGGTACTGGTGAGCAAGCCACTGAAAACGCGAATTTCGAGCTGCGGTGGCAACAAAGACTTCCTGCAGCTGGACTGGCCCACTGAGTTTCGGTTGGTCCGTAAGACGCTGAACTATGCGACGGCCTTTAGACCAGACCGTGGATGTCGATTCGATGCACAACACCCGAAGATTTTGTACGAGCCAATGTCAGGTTCGGAAGTCCTGGTGGTCTACCGTTTTTAGTTGAGCGGTCCGTGGTGTAGCCCGCATCTTTTGCGAGCTAAAAACGGAGGTCGGGTAAGACCAAGATCGTGAGCGTTACGTTATCAAATTTGATGACGTCACCGATCACACTATTAATAACTGTGATATATCGTGTGTGTCTGTGTATGTGAGTTTTGTAAGGCCATGTTGTAGCATAAATAGTTTAGTGAACATGTTTTCGGTAATGTGAACTCAGAGCCTGGGTTCATTTTCACGGGAGTGTTGACGAGGTTTAAGAATCGTATTTTATTGCACGCTAGCATTATGAATAGCGGATATCATTATATCCTATGCTATTGTATTTTAAAATGCACTGAATCCACCGGCTTCTGCACCATAGGCTTCGCGACCCGATGCGCCGAACAGATCGCATACGTCTCCAAGAAAAATGTATCGCGATTCAGCACTAAATAACCGTGTAAGCGTTTATGTTGTTACTGATAACCGCCCACTCCATCGCCGAGTGGTCGACAATCCATGACACCCTGTGACGTCAGCAGCGGCAAGACACGTGACTTGGCTACACACACTCCGCCAATGTCGGGACCATTTCTGCCCGGCGCACGTGAAACGGGCTGCACATTTCGGAGTGTATGGCGACGTCGGGATCTTCATCATGCTCAGCGCGGCGTGCACGCTGCACCGCGATGAATGTTGTGTATGAATAGAGACGTCCCCGCGCGAGCACCGCCGAGAGTCACGTACGCCGCCGGACGTATGCTGCACATAAACGATAATATACATCATGTCCTTTGTGTGGTCCGAGTGCTGCCGTGGCGGGTGTCGCCGCCGCCGAGAGGCTGGGTGTGCTGAGGAAAGGAGCCACTGCACGTGACCAATGCGTGGATAGTCTGCTCCAAAGGTGTGGGGTTTGCCAGCCGCAACAACGGTTCGCCGCTTAGTGTGATAGTGGCGGCATTTTGGGCTCATCCAGCTTGTGGGGACTTACTTCGATTTTTGCGTGGCCGAACGGGTGTTTGGACAAGTTACCAATTTAAAACGTATTTCTCTTATCCTCTGTAGGCTGTTAAGATAATAGGCACGACCGTAAATTACTTTTATGACCTCTTCGTTCATCTTCATGACATCAAAATTAATGAGGCCGGAGGCTAGGCGGTGCAGTGATAGCATAAGAATATCCCTTTGTTTTGACGGATCAAATAGACCTATTCCTAGCTGTAGGTATATGCTGATGTAAGCACCGCAAACAAGAAACACGTGACACAGAGCGTCGGCTAATGCTATCCTGTAGCACACATAAGTCACAGCACAGCTCAATTCTGATAGGCTCTCGAAATGTGTGACTCCGAAGCCACTAGAACGCACCTGAGGCACAGGTCACAGGTCGGCGACCAGAACTTCTTCCGCTCCGAGAACACATGAACCCTGTGGGCTAGTCGCGTCCAGGGAGCCTGCACGTTTGACCGGCCAAGTCGCATGGTGAAACCCACGTGACGCCCTCTGAGGCAGTCAAACCACGTGATCGTGTGCGGCTCGTACAGCACCGCATGCAGCTTTGCACGACACTACGCACTCACAGCCATGCAGAACACGTGACACCACGCCTTGCGAGCCATGCAGACCACGTGACACCATCCATCCGGGGCTGTCCGGCACACGTGACGGCGCGGCGGGCCACCGCCGGGGTACGTGAAGGCCTCAGACCATCCCAGGCAGTGTTTTTGTCACCTGCCTGATGGATTGCGACTACGCGCGGCATTTTTACCCGCCGGAAAAACGGCGGGAGCGCCGGCGCGCCAGACTCCCAACACTCCGGCAGCTACACACAAGCGCGCCACTCACCGGGACATGGTCAAAGGGTGCGGTGAAACAGCGACGGTCAAAAGAGGGGTTCTGAGGCCTCAACCATCATGGGAAGTGGTTCACACTTGCAGTATGGCAGTACAGAGGACACAGGCGAGCACCGAACAGGTCGTAAGAGATGCAGAGAGACGATAAAGTTTGCATACCGGAAGACACTGAAAACGAAAAGAAAGATGTTCGTGGGACTTTTCAGATGACATGGATAACGGTTTTGAGGAAAGAAAACAAGATGATACGACCAAGGGAATGGTGCATAGTCTATTATTTATGAAGTGGCTCCCTCAACTTTGCACATGGGAAGCGTTTGGTGACATTTGTACCTTCTGTCTGCGTTCTCACGTTGCATTGCCATACCAGGCGATTCGCGGTACCAGTGCGACCCCAGAGGAAACTTATGAAGATGTTCGCGGCCGATGCACCGGCCGCAACAAACAGTTTATGGACGGATGCGTGGGATAAACAACGTGAATCGAGACTTCACCTCTCAAATGTGTTGTGCAAAGGCAACCATTCCCTGCAGCATAGGCAGTTTTATGAAGATGATATTGTCCATAGGCAGATTCTTGTTATATCTGGAAGGCAAGTGTCACCAGAGCTCCCGCAAAAGGCGACCACAACTTCCTTTCAACCAGTCACCACCACCATAAAGGCAAAGCATAAAAATGTATCTTTGAATCAGTTACATAAATGATCAGCATCAGGGAATGCTTTTCAGCAGAGGTTAGAATCCCTCCCTATTGTCTGAGTCGCAGTTTCCCTTTTGTGGGAAAATGCTGTTGTTTGTTTCTTAAGATGATGAAAACTGTGTTAGCCGGATCCTCAAAGAAAGAACTATATCTGACGACAACATCTACCGCACATCCTGATATTCCCTAGGTATAGATAGAAAGACAAATAAACAGGGTAGACGCAAAGCTGCAACCGATAACATTATGCCTGGGTGTGTACCTAAGACGACTGCATAACGCTGCAAACCGTTACAATCCCAGCTTTTGACTGGGCTGGCAACATCCCACACCTGAAGGAACTTCAGCAACCGGTAACGCAGGTGCGAACCAGATCTGTGCATCTGCATTCTGCAGTCGACCCAGAATTCCAGCATGTCACCAATAAATCTCGGGACACAATGTCACTGCCTTGGCTGCACCAGTCTACACCACGCAGCGTTCTCGACACCAGTCGCCCACCTGTCGAAACCAACACCACAGCTCCAATATAATCCAATAAAACCCACTGAATTACAGCCGCCCCGTGCAGAACGGACACATCCACCGACCTGCGACCCCAAACACCTCACGACGGTCCGACGGCCGGCGGCGGCCGTTATCCCGACGAGCATGGGTGCTGACAGCACGGAGATGACCCGGTGCACCAGATAGTTCATCTCGCGACCCTGACCCGCGCCGTGAGGTGCTCACCGTCACGACTCGGTGGCTGCGCAGTACTATCTGTCTATCGATCTCTGGCGGCGGCGCGGCTGTCGCGCACGGTGGGGATGGCGGCGTGGGACGCGATGACACACAGTCACGAGACAGTGGTCGAGTCAGATTTGAAGACTAACGCAATGGTCTTCATGATGTGGGCATGGATTAGACAGCAATCCATGGATTGTGATTAGGGCATGGGTTGATATCTAATCCATAATTTGGGGACTGGCGGTCATAGCGCACTGTTGTAATATTATTGTTGACTGCTGCTCAGTGATGTATAAGGCGCCTTACGGTTATCATGTATCTCAGAGGCACTTGAGAGGATAGTCCGTACAGGATACCTGCCAATCGCCAACAAACAAAAGAACACGATACGTAAAATGCATTTGGTGACACAAAGACCTTCGCTTATGAAATGGACACAGATGTAGGGCAGCTTCTCACTCCAAAACCAGACACCACCTCACCGAACCAGCCTGTCCTGACAGTTGGACAATCCGACACAACGGAAACTTCGTAACGCCACGGAATTCCGTCCACAATCCGCACGGTACAGGCCACCAGGCGGCCGACAGCCGAACTACAGTTTACCCATATCACCGCCAGGCGCGCCGGGACGACGGTACCGACTGGCAGAGCTCACCGAGGGCCGGTGCAGGTTCCTCAGAGCCCGGGTCGGGGTCAGATAGAGTGGTCAGCAGACCAGCCGGTAGGACACGTACCGTCCGGCCGTCTCCGACCGTCGGATGATCTTACACACCTGGCGGAGGGAGAGGGGCGTCAGAGAATACCGGCAAACGGCGCCGGGAGAGGGGCGTCAGAAAATACCGGCAAACGGCGCAGGGCGATGTAGTGGATTCTTGACTATCATAATCGAAAGTCGATCGTAAAAAAAAACTCGAAATGCAATCGATAAACAACATCGAACTATAACATCGAACTATAACATCGAACATAACAACTATAACATATCGAATAGAGCATTGTAGTTATCAACAAATCATTAAGCTCGGAAAGCATGATAATTACGCCACCAAACCACGCTATTGCGTCGAATACAACATAAACATAAACCATTAAGTACAACACCCTATGGCCTATACCACCCGGGTCATATTGCCCTTTACCCCATCCATCACCCCCCCCCCCCCCCCCGACACCGCACCTGTCCTCGCCGCAGTCCGAAGTAGCGCGCCACGGGGTCGCCGCTCTGGATACGCGGCAGCTGGTTCTCCTTGAGGCGGTAGCGCGACAGCAGCTCCTGTTTCTCCTCAGGGGTGAGTACCACGTGCTCGGGTACCAGCTCGTGCTCGGTGAGGTTAATGAGCAGTTCCGACTCCATAAACTGCTCGAGGATGTACTTGGGAGCCATGTCCACCAGCGACTAAAAGAGAAAAGAGCGGAGAGAGGTCAGAATTACGCAAAGGAGCAAAGGTGAGACAATACAACGAATGATACAGGAAAGAGAGAAAAACACATACAGCGCAGCATGAATATCGTCTTAAGATGACGTGGACTAAACGTAAGCTTATTGTGCCGAGTCTGAATGCAGTGAAGTTCCGGGATTACCCTACTCACCACTAGCAATCGTTTCCACTCATCACCAAACCATGCAATCTCCTTCACCAACCCGTCACTTATCTCTTCTCCCGCTCTCGCTCGGTACCCAATAGTAGTCACCTGTTTGGCGGAGGGCGTCATGCCGGCCTGAACGACGATCACCGCTCGCGAGATGTTCTCCTGCTGCATGCGCTGGCAGTACGTCTTGATCGTCTTGATGCCGATCTTGGCATCGTCAGGAAAGAAGACGAACATCTGGTCTGAAAGGAAACAGCAGACGTGTGACCAAGTGATCGTCATTAGGGCACCACCCATAATGGTAGAGTTTAAGAGCAAAATGACGAGAACCATAAGCTCTGTACCAGGAACTAATGTTACCTATTACTAGTAATTTTTATATATGTATTAGTTATAGATGCCTTGCTGTGGTTAAGACTGCTGCTAAGACCGCGTAACTAATGAAATTGGGATCAGTTTCAGCTAATCCTTCGTAGTTTCGCAAAAAAGGTAGGTTTGGTTATAAGCATATTTTTTTAAAGCTGATGATTTAGTTTTTGTTGTATGGTAGATTGAGTACCGGCTGCGATAAGTGGAGGCAACTGTCCGCCGGCTCTCCGCCGCCGGCTGACGTCAGAAGCGCCCGGCGGCCAATCACCGAGGAACGTCAAGGGCATCCCAGCTCGGAATGCCCTTGACGTTCCCCGATGATACTGGTACCATACAACAGTTTTAGCGAATTCAGCAGCACATATGTACATACCTATCATTTGAGATTTCGGAGTTACAGCTCAGAAGCCCTGTCAGCTTACCAGTGGGGTCGTCAGTGTGTGCCACCAGGATGATAAGGTCGCTGCGGGCCGGTCTCCTTTCACTGAAACCACACTTCTGTCATCAGTGGTGTGGCCAACACAGACCATGCAACACCTGACAATGATGCAGAGAATAATAAACAAAATGACGACTAATTGTGACACCTCAAACAGTAGACAGAAGATATAAGCTCAACAAATTCAGTACAAAGATAGGTGTTCCTTGTCATATGCAGCTATGATTACAAAATGTTTGAATATGCTACAGCCAGGAAATTTTTTTATTCTTGTGCAAATTTTGTGTTAAGGCAGATGCTAAAATTAAATTAGAAAGCTGCATGTTAAAACATAGACTTTCATAAATTATGTTACAAAAAGAAAATAGAATACCTACCTGGGTTTGTCTCCAAACTGCACCTTGAATTGTTCCAACGTCTGGTCCAACTCATCTTGTGTCACTAGGTATCCTCTGTCGTGGCACAACTGGCAGAGGAGAACACTCACATGAATAGCATAATATATCGAGCCCTGCTGCAAGGCTCTAGTAGAACAATAATTACTAGTGTTCCTTGCTAAATACCAAATAGAAAGTAGGTAGGTACCAACCAACCTTACAAATGATAAATGAGCATGAGAATATCATCAAGAAAACATAGCATCTACTACTAACACCTAAACCTAGCACCAGCTGAGTAGATACCTATAGGAAAGTGTGCTGGATTTTAAGTACCACTTGCAACTTTTCCACTGTTACTCATTTAACTTAAACAATCAATATTGCCATCAAAATTTTCATGCTTATAATATATATAGCCCTATGCATTGCCAGGATTCACTTCCATGTTCCTTTACCAAAAGTAGTATTCTCATTACATAGGCTATAACATACCTGCATAACTGTCTTTCTGCATTTCCAGAGCTTGTATGTTTCAGCTTCCTCATCCATAGTTCACCAGCTGAAAATGATAATAGTCAAGATAGGTTCTGCATCATGAAAGACAGCATCATGAATTCATAAGTCTTTACAGAAGATATTTTGAATATCAGTGTACAGCTGATTGAGAGCCCTAAATTAGTCACAACTCACAATCCCAAAGGAGTACCTATACTGCAGCTATTAATGACTCATCCAGACTGCAAGAAAATACCCTTCCAAAGATCTTCCTGGCACAAAGGGGGGCTCACTAACAACTGGATAAAATCAGCTGGCTGGCCAGCTGGTGACCTACGATAGCTTTGTCGCTTATTTATGTAAACACGGTAGTACCGATAGACATGAGCACGCAAAATGGCACCCATAGAATTAATAGAGATCTTTAGTCATTTTTATCTAGCATTGACATATTACCAACAAGGTCTGCTAGCGCCACCATATGGCGCCAGCTGGCAAATAATCCAGAAAATAGTACAGCCCGCACAAAGGCACTCAAGACAGGTTGTGGCAGTGAGCGGAACACTTTACTGTGCCACTAAGTTACGACTTGAGTCGTGACGGTACCCCTCTATAAGACAAAGGGCCTCAAGAAGGTCAGCTCCCAGATACTAGGGTCAGTTCTAGGTCAGGCTATGTTTTCTGGTGGTTATATGGCCTTGGGTTAGAGAAACTTTAACGTACATATGAGTTATCATGCTATGTCAAACCGCCGTGACGCAGTTGTGGCATTTGCGGTAGATATAAAATAGATTGTATTGTGCGCCCTGACTTCAACTTAAGACCAAGACCAAGAGAATCGAGATACACCGGCCCGGATGCAGATACCTATCAGCCCACTTCAGAAAAAAAAAATTAGTTCTGAGCATAAAATACAAATTATTTAAAAAAAAAAAAACATTAACACGAGAATACACACAGACACACATGCGATGTGACAAGGTCGCAGAAATACTTTATTTAGTTGAGATTTTCTTGCAAATTAATGACGTCATTTTTTGATGACGTATTAAGAATCCACGCTCCCCGTCCCCACAAAGTTCACAGCATAATACCGGCATAGAATATAGATACAGAGCATTTCTTTGTTTCTTTGTTTGTTTCATTTCTTTGTTTTGGCTGGAATGGTTAAATGAACGCCTCAGCTCACGCTAAGCAAGATTGTTACGAGACCAAGATTCTTACAGATAGATTCTTACGGCCAGGCGTCGATGTCTTTCTAAGAGAAAAACAGCGACACCGATGTCAAGGCAGACAATAAAGGCATAGACTCTTGTTAATAGCTCCATTTTGCCCCCCAGGAGGTACACTGGGCTCTTATCAGACACCAACTTAGCCGATACATTAGGGAATGGGCTTCAAACTTCTCCCGCGACGTTTGATTTGAATTTCACGTTCTCACAAAGACGGGAGCGGGAGATTTCGGACATACCTACTTCAGCACATCAGCATTTTTTTCATTGATGAGCATTATTGTGCGAATTATAGCACTATCTTCTGATGTCCCGGCTTTTCATCTATTTGACTGCAAGCGTTTTACCATTCGATATTCGATAACCTCAATTCAATTTAAAACGTTCGTATGTTTGTTTTAACACTCAAATCCAGCCAATTTAGCGATGGTGATATTTATTCAGCCGACTGGAGTATCATCAAATAACATCACAGTGCAGCCCCCTGTTTGCGTCGACCAAGATATATAACAGAGCCCACATTCTCTAACGCGAGACCACGCATCAGTCACGCAATGATGTCAGAACCGACGCCAGTTTACGCAGTGTGCCTGGCCCTTCAAACACATGCTATCTACACATAGCATGAGGGTGGTAGTCATGTCCGCCCTCGCAGCCATCGATACGCAGGCCGGGTTCGCGTCTGGATGAACGATGACCACCCGGGTGTGCCGCGTCTCATGTTGACCCGGCCAACCGTCCTGGTGTATCGGGAATTATCTCCTGAAGTCGGCTCCCTAACCAGGTGATGATCACGCCCTGTCTAGTCGTCCTTCTTGCTCGGTGCTTCCGAGGCGGGCGCGGTGGTTGTTTCTGCCGCGTCGCCGTCGCCTGCCGGGGAGGAGTCTGTGGCTGCCGAGTCGGAGGGTTCGGCGGCCTTCGTCGGACCTTCTGCCTTGCTGGCCTCATCGAAGTTCTCCACGAGGTCGGGCACCTCATCATCATTGTCAGCAGCGTCACCGGCAGCGCCCACTGCAAAACAAAGGGTGTCAACAACATGAAGCAGGATACGGTCTAATGGTGAATCGATTGGAAAAGAAATCAGCACTAAACACTACTTTTTTATCAACTTAGTCAGAACGTTTTGAAATGAAGGATTCACGACACAGCCCCGCTCAATCAAGCTTGGAGCGTTGCCCTTCCCTCCATCCACCGATCGCGCGATTCCTGATCTGACAAATTCCACAGTTTATTGTAGGGCTGCGGAGTCGATTGATTTTTTTGTGGGGGGGGGGGTGACGCCGACCTAGATTCCGACTCAGTCTCCGTTAACATTTGTCGACTCCGACCGACTCCGACCCCGTGCCCTGGTTTAACATACGCACATAGCCGCGCGTGGCTGGTCCTCTCACTGACTTCGACTGGCTACCACCTGCCACCAACCGCAACTTTGCCCTCCAGGAGCCTCATAAATATCAAGCGTCCATCGCGCCTCGATCCCCGGGCTTTTGTTAACAGGGTGTGTCTTAACAACACAGAGTCTAACGCTCAACCGTTGAGCTACGGGACCGGCCACTACCATATCAAGGATCCTGAATTAACAATATTTTAAGTTCATTTTATGTTAAAACAGGTAGCAACTGGAGATAACCAACAAGCAACAAGAAAGCCAACAAACGAAATCCTACGGAAGGACTACGGGAGGAACTGTGGAACATGAGTCAACCTCGACCAGCATCGCCATAATAATAGTATAAGCATAACACCAATATCTATAAGGGAGTTCGTACCGCTTGCTTGCACGGACGACGCCAACCGCTTCAAGTGCGTGAGACTGTCGGGGCCCAGCTGGTTCAGGATAGTCGGCAACATGTCTGAGATCTGCTTATCCTCAGCGTGACCCGAGATGGCGAACGTGTTGCACTGCAGCGACGCCTGCACCTTCGGGTTGTTGAAGTGTATCACCGAGCTGTCGTCCTTGATCATATTCACCTGTAACCAACAGACAAAGTGGATGTGTGGAACAAATCAGTTCACATAATTACGTATTGACATTACCAACCGCCCATCTGATTGAACCTGTGATAGGTCAGTACAAACCACTTAAAGTGACGATTCCAATCTACCCTGATTCCAATTACCATTAGGCAAAAATATAATCAGAAACAAAAAGGAAAGCATGACTGAAATTCAACATACCTCCTCAATTCCGGGAATGTTGCTAACTGGCAGCTTCTTCAGTGAATTTTGCAACTTCTTGTCATCAGTGTTGGCGGTTTTGTGAACTACCTTCTTCTTCCTTCGAGGCACTCCCTTGCCACCCACTCGCACCTGCTCAGACAGCTTAGCAAGTTTGTCCCTGTTCATTGTGAGATCTGAAAATAAAAACAATATTGCATATTTACATGAACGGATTGCACAAAGCACGCCCGCTGGTGTTATATCGGGCTTTGCGGTGAAATTAGTCTGAGAGGCAACTGCAAGTGCAACCAATAGTAAATACATTGGGTTTGCTTATTGCTACCCAGTACACTGGGATAACGCAGGTTCAGTCGAGAAAATTGTGGACAACACAATGTAGCGTTTCTTATGTTACTGAACGTTAATAAGGAAAATAAACGCTAAGATCGAGTCGCTGTGGTTCGTTTCTGTGTCGTTACGGTCACGTTTGTCGGAGCTTCTCACCAACCATCTCACACGCCACGTTCACCGAAAGAACTCTATCTCCATTTCCCATAGAGCAGCAGGCCATATCACGCAATCCAGTCAAGGTAAATTAATGCGCGACAGAGACAAAACACTACACACAGGTGATTTTTTATAGTCCAGGAAATGCCAGACATTCAAGCTTGCAGGGATTGTCAGTACCAACGTCAGTTCAGAAAGACCTATTGCAGAAGCTGCATGTCTGTGTGACAGGAAGCGGGCCAGCGGCTGTCACTGATGCATTTCGTGCAGAAAAGACAAAAAGCTTGCGATGTTAACCCGCGCCGGGCCGAGGGGGGTGTTTGAACACCCACCCCCTCTCTGCGGTTTTCTCAGATATCTCAAAAACGGCGGCGCGGAGCGCCGCCGTTTTTGGCACACCTGTTCGTGCATCTTTTCCGCACATGTTGTGAAGGTTTCAGACCCAGGTCGCCTTAGGTCAGGTCACCAGGTCACGCCAAGTGACCTCACCACAGAAAAAATAAGAATGCTCGTCATGGCTACACAGATTGATCGATTGCCTTGAAACTTTCAGCGATTGATTAGAGCAACATTGTCTATAAAATGTATGTCTCGGAATTTTGATATCGGTGACTTAAGGTCAGGTCAATTTTGTGGCCTCTCCATTATAAGTCAATGCGAGAAAATTGAAAAGCATCTGTTTTGCACGAACGCTAATCTAGACACTCTCAAACATCGAGATGAAGGTAAAATTTACACACTGAACCGGAAAATGACAACTGTGACCTCTGGTTATGTCCCCAAGGTCATCTCAGGTCACGAACAGAATCTAACAGTTTTTCGCTAATAACTTCTGATAGAGGCGTGCTAGAGCGCTGAAAACGCCTTAGATGTGTTCGGCTCGACGTTGCGGATCGACTGATATGCAACATGACCTTTTCCGGTCAGGTCATGACCTTGACCTGAGGTCAAATTTTCAAGTTGACCTTTCAAGGTCAAATTATAGTTCATTCGACGCGTCTCGACGAGAGGAACACGATGCTGGCAAAAGTAATGTCATGGCTCTTTTGAGTCAAAAGTTATTGCCGAAAAAAAACGCTTTTCGTAAAAACGGCTATTTTTGGAGTTTTTGCCCTCTGGAGGCTAAACCGTTGACCTGAGGTCAAATCTGAGGGCATTACTCAGAAAGGTCTGTAAAAGGGCCATCCGCGGCGCGCTTTTCCGCGGCGCTGTAGCTCTATCGGTTCCCGAGATAGCCGTCGGCAGTTTCCAAAATGTTGAAATAGTCAACATTTTACCTTTGGTGACCTCTGGTGACCTGACCTTTGACCGGACCCAAAAAATGACCGAAGTGTTTTCGTCCTTATTTGGGACGTTCTTTCGATTGCCGCTTACCGCGTGTCGCTACGTGGCCCAGGAGCCGAGTTAGAAGGGGGGTGACGGGTGTTCAGATACCTTCCCCCCCCCCGGCCCGGCGCGGAATCTCAGGGCACAGGTTAATAACAATTAATGCACAAATGCATTGATAATTCAGCAAGGCTTCTGCTTAGGTATAATATTTCAGCAAGGTACCTCCCTAAGTATCGAGTGTTGGAAGGTGATTAGTGATAGCATAGATGGGTGCTCACTGCTCAGAAGGTGTTTGTTAGGTGTCAGGGAGGTGTGAGGTAATAATTACTGAACAGAAAACCTAAGAGCAATTGTACACCGCTTCCCAACTTAAACAAACAAGAAAAACTGTTTGTATGGTCTCAATAATTACCTACATTACATGTTGCATACAATATCTATATCTATATCTACATCCTACCAGGTTTGTGAGGATCATGAAATCTATGCTGTCAATCCATTTTAGCTCCATTATTTCCACTCACATGCTTGAACCTTAGCTAACTGGCAGTTTTCCAACATACTTCTTCTGTTTAGTCATAATGAATTACTTTCCCCTCTAACCCTTAAACTGGGATATAATATGAGGACACTGCACACAAAACAGTGCATTTTGGACAATGAATCATAAAGACAAATTAATTAAAGGAAATATACCACTTGTACCATGGGGTTTTAAACTGGAATAGCAGTTTTGTAGCTTGAGCTAGGGCTAGCACAAATCAGTAGTTTTTATGGCCCAATGATCACCTTAGGAATTGTTTTGAAATCAGTGCCTTATGAAGGAATGTGGTGCCTTATGGAAGATTGCATAGAATGCAGCCACCTCTGGCAGTGGCCATCAGCCAATCAGCATGCAGTTTGATTTGTATTTGTATTTATACTGGAACCTCTCCACAGGTGGCTATTACGAGCCCAGTTAACATGGTGATGCATTGACAGCACAACATACATTTGCAAACACACATACATGTAATGGAGGTAATGGAGTTGAAACAAGCAGATAAGTAGGGTATTTGTCACTGTTCCAGCCTGGTCATGAGCTGGCGACGTGAACTGGAAAGTTAAGTCGCACGCGAAAGTTTACCTATTCCACGACACGGCGGCTCGGTAAGGAAAAAGTCGCCGCGCGGTCGTCAGCTGGAGGTGAGGGGGCTCGAGTACCGCAGCGCCGGCGGCGGTGGCTCGCGTTCGACGCGAACACACTGCTTGGCGAGGGCGCACAATGGCTTTGAGCGGCTGGGGGGTAGCGGGGTCGTGTAGGGCGCGGTAGATGTTTATGGCGTCACGACGCATCACTAGCGTGTCGATATCGGCCCACCCAAGCATCGCGAGGATAAGGATATATGATCACCTCGGCGTAGGTAAACCAGATACCAGTCAGGCGACAAAATTTATTACCTTTTGCAGTCGGTTCAGATGGGTGCGTGTCGCCCCACCCCATACTGACACGCAGCACTGAAGGTGAGGGAGGACGTGGGTCTGGACAAGAATTTTGAGGATGTCATCGGAGAGGTGAGATCGGATTTTGAAAAGAGATATGATGATTGTGTTGGTACGCCGGGCGACTGAGGATATGTGGCGCTCCCAGGTGAGAGTGTGATCAAATTCAACGCCTAAGATTTGAACTAAGCAATATGATTAGTCAAAGCATAATGAGCTTATGCTGCAGACACTGTTTGGCCTCTAATAAAGATGGAAACTAATTCTTCCTATGTGAAAATAATTTAGATATTTCATTTGAAAATATTTTTTCATTTCTGTTGTGATCATTTAAAGCAAAAAAAAAAATAAAACTTAAAAAAATATATTTGAGGAAAGTGGTATATTTCCTTCAAACTGATGATAAAAGGTGCTCCCTGATGAGTCCACAAAAATTTAAGACAACAAAAAGTAATGTTAGCAACACTATCAGTTATCATCCATGTCACAGAGCAAAAAAAAAAGTATCTGTCTTATAATTCTGTGGCTCCAATGTGTTTCAGCAGGTAGGCACACAGGCAGGCGGCAGCTCCATAGCATTGGACCCTTGCATCTTATTTGATGTTCGGCTAGCTAGCAACTGGCAAAACAATAATGCAAATGGTGGAACCAAAGAAGCATTATCACCATCTACTTGAAAATAATAAACTTCTAGTGAAATCAACACAGTGAACAAGGTTGGGTGGTGGGTCCATGCCTTTATAGCCTTTATAGTCCAGGGTCAGATGCGCCATGGAGCTCCAATCGGTCATTCACCACTTGCCTCCTGATTTCTGCATTCCCACCATGCCTGGCCTTCCTTCACATGTCATTCACCCATTTGGTTTGCGGGTGAGACAGCATTTGCGTTACACTTCACAGCCGTTTCTCTCTCTTTCTTTCTTTCTTTGTGGAGCATTAGCACCAACTACGAGTCGAGTTTTGTCGACTTGTGTCGACTTGCACCAACTACGAGTCGAGTTTGTCGACTTGTTGTCGAGTTTCCACAACAATTCACACGCAGACGCACAACACCAGTTCCCTGACTCAAGGCCCACCCACTGGCCCCAGCTTGTGTCCAACTATATTCTTTGGAATTGGCGCGTCTCTGAACGACTTGGGTTTCCCTCCTTCTCACTCCTCTCCTAAGAGCAAGGCTGAGGAAACCCAACAGGTGAGTTAAACAGGTGAGTCCATGGTGACATTCCCAAGCACATCATGGCACCCAGGACCAACGATCGATTGCTCACTTTGAAATAAACTATCTTAAAATGTTAACTTATCTATTTCTGGGAATTCTGCACCGATCCACTCAGTGCCAGAGCCACAAAGGTGAAACACGTGCAACGTGCGGCGTAAACGCCGCGTGGCTTTAAAAGTTAACTTGTGACGAGCCACCGACATCAGATTGATTCACATGTAGCAAGTGTACGCAAAGTTAAGCACATATGTTCAAAATACTAGATGTTTATTCTAAAAAAATGAATAAATCACGTTCTTACCACGTCCAAATACCGGAAAACACAAACACCGCACCGTCGTCCGTCCTCGAAGTGCGACCAGTGCGACGACCAAGGTGACGACTTGTGACGCAGCGGCGATGACAAGCTTTAGCCGCAATTTGATGACTATATAGTTATGTTATTTTGATAAAACCTAAATAAACATACATTATTGCTTAAAAATTTCTGAATATGGTAAAATAATACTAGTTTTGATTTGTGAGCGCGACTAAAGACAAAAAATGTAATGAAATAAAATTAAACGTCATTTTTACAAAGTGTTTCTTTGCGTTGATATTCTCTCACCTTGTGCAAAAGGCAAATTCTCTTATCCCGGAACAATAACACAAACAAATGAACAACGTTGGGTTTTTTCTATGTTGTCCGATATATTTTAGCAAATTTCGTGTTATACAAAACATTTCCGGTACATATCCACACAGGCACACACACGCACACACAAACCCATACACACATGCCCGCTCGGACACGGTCAGGAGGCGTTCAACCGCCTATCAGGGGGCGTCGAAGTCTAGTTCCTACCAACCTGGCACTCCCATGCCTACGTCACCACGAGGACGCCCGAGGGCATTTACATGTTGAAGATAGGGAAATTGCCATAGTTTAGAGCCGCCTGGAGGGCAACCTTGAGATAGATGATAATGTAAATGTGTGCTAATATGATCATGAACATGTTATTTATCCAAATCCAGGGCCAATTAATCGATATCTTGTCACGTTTTCCAGTGGTGATGAGCTAACTTTCGTGGTTCTTGCAGCCAATAAGGGTGTTTCATAGTGCGATTCAGCCGCATTATCGACTTTAATGCCATAAACCGCCACGGAACATATGATTTGCAGCTCCCTGGCGTGATAGCTGCCAGTAGGGCTCCGGAGTCGGAGTCATGAAGTCGGTCGGAGTTGACAGTTCTGACCCGAGTCGTCGAGTCGGAGTCAGAGTCGATTTTAAAAGCTGGAGTCTGAGTCAGTCACCGAAATTCGATCCCCTCCGCAGACCTTTCAGGGTTCCGTAGTCGGAGTTGTAGTCGGTCGGAGTCGACAGTTCTGACCAGAGTCAGAGTCAGAGTCGATTTTGAAAGCCAGAGTCGGAGTCGGAGTCACCAAAAATTCATTGCCTCTGCAGACCTGCTAGGGCTGTGGAGTCGGAGTCGGTCAGAGCCGACATTTGAAATCAAAGTCAGAGTTTATTTTTGAAAGTCTGAGTCAGAGTCGGAGTCATCAAGAAATCCATGGACGATCCGCAGTACGATGCAGTAAGGGCGCTGCCGATCGATGCCCTGAATTGCCTATGATTTATGAATTGAATGAATAGATGGCAATTAATTAGGTACCTGCTATTATTCATCCCTTGCCACTTGGAGAACTTACTTTCAGTAGAAAAAGACGCATTATTTGTTTGTTTATTTATTGACAAATATTTTTGAGCAGTTAGGGATACAGACACAAAACACAATGATAGCCACCTCGCTGGTGCAAATCATTGCTAGATAGATGTTGAAATGTGTTGCCATTGAAGAATCTGCTGATTTTCCTGGGGGCTCTCGTTTTCAAGTAACTACTGGTCTTGTAAGATCTCTTGATTGCTCACCGTCTGGCGTATAGTTCCAAGGTTTTCTGAAAGCTAATCAAACGTTATCATGACTGCTCTTGATGGCATGGCGCTTGCTGGTTCTGGGCTCTTCATTGGTGGTTCTTGCATCTGATCCTGTTGCTTCATGTTCCAGCATATCACATTAAATTTATAATGGAACAGACACTTCTACCTTTTATTTCATTATCAGTCGACTTGCATTTACCCCTGTGGCCTGCTGGCCATTTTATTTCCACGATAGAATCTACCAGTACCAATTATTGAAAAAGCTTCGGATAAAAAAGCAAGAAAAGTATGTCAAGTTAAATAATTGCGACGGTCCTAGAAAACCAGAAAAAAATATTTAACAGCCTGTCCATCTCACTCCCCTCACTTCATAACAAAAACACAAACCAAACACAAACCACGCAGCAAAACACGCGAAAGAGTCCTTAGCAACGCCTTAGCAACGCATTTGTCTGAAGTGCGCAATATGTGTCACATCTGGAAAATTTAGTAGCTACTTGATTATTCAACATGAATTGGACTATATAAGCTAGGCTTTTATATAAAAAATAAGTGTTTGCTTATCGAATTTATAGTAACTGGTTGCTTAACTTCGAAATAATGATTTATTACAGAAAAAGCTTGTTTGCGACATATTTGTAAAGAAACAACGGAAATAGCTTTGACTCGTACGCTATTCTAGTACATTTTTGGTAGAAAACTTCGTCCAACCTTATGTTTTAGGGCCTTGCGCCTATCCAGGCTGGCACGGTCCGCCGACATCAAAACAACGGTGCGTCAGCTGATTATTGGTCCTCCGATTCAGGAGAAATTATTAACGCGGGAACGCCGGCGCTAAATAAAGGCGGTAGGATTCACGGCTTCGCATGATCGTGTGCAATATTTTTTTATAGTATCAAGCGAGGGGTATTGCTGGAGTTTTGCAAATAAATATTTTGTTCTCAGTTTGGCTATGCGATCGTGAACACTTTATTATCATAGATACGATATGAAACAGGATAAACAGGCCAACCCAAGGCTTATGTAGGCCAACCTTAGACTTCGCATAGCCATGGACATTGCGTAGGAAGGTTTAGGTACTCGCCGATCGTACCACGATACCACGGGCAAGATATCAGACTTTTGGGAGTTTTGTGTCGCTGAAATGTATTTTAAGTGCTAAGAAGGAAAATAATTCAATTTAATGATGTCATGGACAATGGACATTTAGCCATTCCAAGCATATAATTTGCCTGGTTTCGACAACCAGATAGCCAGGTTTATTTCAAGAGCTTCTAAAGAGGTAGTGGATTTAATATCGTTTCTATTACATTTATTTGATAATCCTACATATCAGTAAACCTGCCACGCTATCATTCTCGGCGAGCGAAGCGATTACCGGCACATCGTACCAATGCCAATGCAGCGTCGAGCGTCCGATGGTTTACGATAGGAATTATAACAATAGTTTTAAACTAGCGCTTTTTAGAACCATGGTCCGAAATGGTAATTCAAAGAACCTCTTCCCCTTTCAACTCACCTGAAAAAGCTGCTTTCGTGTACCACCCAGCACCCGTTTCGTAGATATATCAAAATCATAACCGGAGGCGAAGATTATCTTTATGATCTACCACGATTCGTGGGGCTGACTAGTACCGACGGGGATCCCACAAACACGACGGTCACATTCATTAAGCATGATGTACGGCGTAAAGCACCACAACTCGGCCCCAAAAGCGCAACCTTCTGAGATATCTTATATTTAGTTTCAATGCTGGTACTGGTGCAGTTTCAATGCTGGTACTCTGCTCATTTCTGTTCAATGAAGTTATTTCTCGCTTAAATGCGCCTCACATTAATCGTGTGCTGTGCTCCACAATCATTGCGCCGCGCGCTCTTCCTTCTTATCGGCCCCCTTGAGATCGTATCCATCAATATCTATTTGCTTCTAAGTTCTAATGACTTGTAGAGAAACCATTTTAGAGCGTTTAACAAAATAATTGCATAACGAGCGATGGGAAAAGCCCAATCGTCCAACTCATAAAAAACTTTGGGACACAAACAACTGGAAACTGTTGGTAGTTGGTACTTTCGCGCATAGGCGGCGGAACGGGGAGGGCACCGGGGCACCGTGCCCCCCTTTGATTTTGGCATTTTAACAATGGGCTCTATGGGCGTTACATGGACAGAATGGGACCAAAAGTCGGCAGTGCCCCCCCCCCTTCCCCAGTTGAGCTGGGCGCAGGTACTAAATAGCATCAAAGGAAATCCTATATTCATCTCGCCGCATTTAAGCGCACCAATCGAAAGACGACAGCGTGACCGCGCTGACAGGCAATCAACCTGGCCACATAAAACTAGCTAGTGCAAGGAAGATGTCTATATAAACCACTGGACCATGCAAAGCGTTCAGTAAATAAAATACGAGTAAAGATGACGCGTTTGAGGGCAGACTGGCCAAACAGTGACGTTACACGCGGATCTCAACACTGCACAACACATTCATCAAAAAAGATCTCGTGGATCCCTATATACGTCATAACTAGCCCTAGTACGGGGGTATATAGCCATGGACGTAAATGGCCGGCTTAAGGCACAGGATCCCAATTGTCATCCCCATTACGTGGTCCCCAGAAGTCGCCAGGCCGAGAGCTAATGGCAGTTAAGCACATCTTACGCGTGCCGACAAACGTGACACAATGAATCCAATAATGAGTCCGCTAATAAGCCTGCCTAATTCTGCATGTAGGCTGCTATTTACCACCACGGCGGAAGGCTAAAACGCATCCATACAGCTCAACATAGGTGTCAATTTCCGCCGGGTTGGGGGTGCTCAAGCTCTTTAGATTCCCCGCCGGCTCGGCTGGCTTGGCTTTGGAGCCCCAACAGACGGTGCGGGTCAAGGTCACCGCTAAGGCAGCGGCGGATTTGCTGCGCCCGGGCAGTGGGCACCCTCAATTCGGTGAAAATCGACACCCATGCAGCTCAACATGACAAAACGCTGCATACAAGCGCACGTCCTCGCATTTAATTGACGCATTTAACTGCGTCACTAACCTCGTACACTGTACAACACTGGTGAGATGACTGTCCGAAGGAAACTGCCGACTTTGGCTGGCAACATTCAGGGTTGGTGACTTATGTACTGAGTTCGGCTGGCTGACGGCGATGTGACTTCAGGACCGGTTGATGAACGGGCCATCCTAGCCCCATACTACAGGAGCCCAGCTGGTCTTGGCGAGCGGCGGCGACTGGACGAGGCTGGACCCCTACTACAGGAGCCCAGCTGGTGCTGACGAGCGGCGGTTACTGGACGAACGGGTCAGCCTGGACCCCTATTGCAGGAGTCCGGCTGGTCTTGGCGAGCGGCGACGACTGGACGAGGCTGGACTCCTACTGCAGGAGTCGAGCTGGTCCTGTCGAGGAAATAGTTCACCTTTAACATGGGATTTTAAACTGAGATAGCAGTCTGATAGAGCAGATTTGTGTATGCCTTACATTTGAACCGTTTGAGATATTCACCTTTTATCAGTGAATATTGGTGCTTAAATTAATGTTCTAGTGCTCATTTACAGCAAGCAGAAACCTCTTCAACACACACAGTGGCCAATCAGCGATGAGAGCACTTACAGGAGCAGAATCCCTTGCAGCTGATAGGTTGTTCAGCTGTAAGTGTTCATAACTCTAATCATTAAAATAATGAAATCCCTTTAGAAGAAGTGTGTAATTCCAAGTTAGAATACATTTAAATTTTATTCATCACATTTTTAACACACCTTTTTAAATTTTATTTATCAAGTTACTCACAGAAGGTGAACAATTTCTTTTAACACTTACCTTGCTTCAATGGTGACATGTAGCTCTTGCAGCAGAAAAGGCACAGCATTTGGCTGCAACTTCAAATATTTACTTGTTGCTATCAATTATTCAGTTTTGAAATGCATACAGGTAGGTACAATGAATCTTAGGTTCTCATGTAAGAATGCCGACCGCAGAAGCAGAAGTTCATCCAAAGCTTGTGCCTGAAAAAGGGCCAGGTTTAATTATCATTATACCATAATCACATTTATGCCTAATTTGTAAGAAATAGGTTTAGGTTAGCAGAAATAGGTAAGGTTTTGACTAGACCCCCTGGGCCCTGGGTCACAACAGGAGATGACCCCCGTGATTGGTGGGACCACCAGGCACCAGCACTGGCACAGTCCGTTCTGACCACCGCACACCTATCAGCCACATTTAAAATGCACTACACTACATCCCCCACCACCTGACCACACCAGACCAAATCTGCACCGCGCTACACAAAATCCGCACTGCACCAAGCTAAATCCACGCCACACCAAAGCCTCACTAGCCGGACAAGCCAGCACAGACGAGATCTTGTCGAAATTGCCATGCTTTGCAGAGTGCATAGGTACTGGCCTACCTGAACCTGACCTTACCCAGCATATGAGCCTGACTGTCCTTAGCACTGGGAGCTCATTGAGACCAGGCCCCACAAGCCTAGTGGCCTCCTGAAACCTGATTTCCATATGGGGTGAGCTATTTAAGAATGGTGATCGGATATCGAACGTGAGACAAGACAGCAATGAGCAGTGGGCGGTTCATGCAACCATAATCATGTTTCCTTACCACAAGTATCAAAGCAAAATCAAAAATAGCTACCTATCGAATTCAAATTTCACTGGAACCTCACCTGCATGGATCTTAAGTGAAAGGATCTTGATACATCTGCACGAAAGATACATCTTGATCCACTCATCTCAATCTTGTTTTTCTGCATCCAGGGCATGCAACACTTCTGGTCAAGGCCGTATATAGGACATCGCTTCTGGTATTTTTAGCACCACACTCGACTGCTGAGCTCAAATGCAAATTTGGATTGCAATCACGGTCATAAAATACTGAATATTGAATCGCAATGTATGTTCAGTCGATGTACCCCTCGTTCGATGTCTCTCAGACGACGAAGATTGTACGTCGTCCGGCCAATCCCGTTCTAGATCAACGGGGGCTCGGCTGCAATTATGGAATGTGATTGGCCGAATGGCGTAGAATCTTTGTCGTCCGAAAAACATCGAACAAGAGTAATGTCGCTACTGCGCCATTGTTGCATCGAATTCGCCCCATAGAAGCACGTGTTAACTCTCTCCCATAGGGCCCTGGGTTGACTCTCTCCATAGGGTCCTGGGTAAACTCTCCCCTTGTCTATTTTCTTTAAACGGGGATAGTTTGGACAACAAAATATTTTCGACCTCAAAAAAATAAAACTTAATTTTTGATGTACCTCATTGATGCAAAACATCAGAAAAACATTAGAAATTAAGTCAAAGAAACAGGGGCGCGGGAACTACTTTCCGACTGGGGGGGCACAACATAATAGAGGTTAACCTAGGGTACCCCCAAATCTAGTTTTCTCACCGGTTTTAGGCCACTTATTTTTCACCCCTCGGCTTTTTCAACAAAAAAAGAAAACATTTGCAAAAAAAGTGTAGAATTCCGTCTCAAAGCTGTGGGGGCACCGCCCCCACGGCCCCAGAGTTGGGGGGGCAAGCTGCCCCCACTGCCCCCCCGGCTCCCGCGCCTATGCAAAGAAACCGATTATTTATAAATGGACAGCTGACGGCATGCCTCCCGTGTCCCCTGGCTTGAAGCTTCGGCTCCGTGTTACCTTAGTATTCTATGACCGTGTGCGGCAGTTAGGTACAGTCCCAGTAAACATGCCGACGTCGGCCCGACGTCGGCCGACGTCGGGGTGACGTCGGCAACTCGGCATCGGCATGCCGACGTCGGTCCAGCCTCAGCACGACGTCGGCTGGATGTCGGATATGCCCGCATGCAGGGGGCGTCGAAGTCTAGTTCCTACCAACCTGGCACTCCCATGCCTACGTCACCACGAGGACGCCCGAGGGCATTTACATGTTGAAGATAGGGAAATTGCCATAGTTTAGAGCCGCCTGGAGGGCAACCTTGAGATAGATGATAATGTAAATGTGTGCTAATATGATCATGAACATGTTATTTATCCAAATCCAGGGCCAATTAATCGATATCTTGTCACGTTTTCCAGTGGTGATGAGCTAACTTTCGTGGTTCTTGCAGCCAATAAGGGTGTTTCATAGTGCGATTCAGCCGCATTATCGACTTTAATGCCATAAACCGCCACGGAACATATGATTTGCAGCTCCCTGGCGTGATAGCTGCCAGTAGGGCTCCGGAGTCGGAGTCATGAAGTCGGTCGGAGTTGACAGTTCTGACCCGAGTCGTCGAGTCGGAGTCAGAGTCGATTTTAAAAGCTGGAGTCTGAGTCAGTCACCGAAATTCGATCCCCTCCGCAGACCTTTCAGGGTTCCGTAGTCGGAGTTGTAGTCGGTCGGAGTCGACAGTTCTGACCAGAGTCAGAGTCAGAGTCGATTTTGAAAGCCAGAGTCGGAGTCGGAGTCACCAAAAATTCATTGCCTCTGCAGACCTGCTAGGGCTGTGGAGTCGGAGTCGGTCAGAGCCGACATTTGAAATCAAAGTCAGAGTTTATTTTTGAAAGTCTGAGTCAGAGTCGGAGTCATCAAGAAATCCATGGACGATCCGCAGTACGATGCAGTAAGGGCGCTGCCGATCGATGCCCTGAATTGCCTATGATTTATGAATTGAATGAATAGATGGCAATTAATTAGGTACCTGCTATTATTCATCCCTTGCCACTTGGAGAACTTACTTTCAGTAGAAAAAGACGCATTATTTGTTTGTTTATTTATTGACAAATATTTTTGAGCAGTTAGGGATACAGACACAAAACACAATGATAGCCACCTCGCTGGTGCAAATCATTGCTAGATAGATGTTGAAATGTGTTGCCATTGAAGAATCTGCTGATTTTCCTGGGGGCTCTCGTTTTCAAGTAACTACTGGTCTTGTAAGATCTCTTGATTGCTCACCGTCTGGCGTATAGTTCCAAGGTTTTCTGAAAGCTAATCAAACGTTATCATGACTGCTCTTGATGGCATGGCGCTTGCTGGTTCTGGGCTCTTCATTGGTGGTTCTTGCATCTGATCCTGTTGCTTCATGTTCCAGCATATCACATTAAAGGGACCCTCCCACCTTAACATTAGTTTTGAGTTGAGATAGCCAAGTTTGCGGCCAGGCTCAGAAACCACCATTTATCCTGGTCGCAACCCCCGCAGCTTTATGACGTTCAAGAAATGTCTTCCCTTTACTTGCAGGGTGGGACCAGCGTGGTCCCTATCTCTTAACCATTACGGGAATCTGATGACGTCATCAGGCTTTCGAACGTCCGTTAAATGTTTGACTAAAACGTTTTGTAGCACGCGGTGGTATATGCTGCTTTGCGCGCAACAAATGCCGCACTTTCAAATAAAGTCGATAGGAACAGCGGAGATCCCAAAAAGTAAACAAAAGTAAAAGTCTAATATCTTGAAAACCGGTGAATACTTTTCGATGAAATTTGGTAGATATTCGTTTTTGCTCTTTCTGAACCGAGCGACATCACTTTCATGCCAATTCATTAACTTTTTTGAAGGTGGGAGGGTCCCTTTAAATTTATAATGGAACAGACACTTCTACCTTTTATTTCATTATCAGTCGACTTGCATTTACCCCTGTGGCCTGCTGGCCATTTTATTTCCACGATAGAATCTACCAGTACCAATTATTGAAAAAGCTTCGGATAAAAAAGCAAGAAAAGTATGTCAAGTTAAATAATTGCGACGGTCCTAGAAAACCAGAAAAAATATTTAAAGGAAAAGGGCCACCTTTAACATGGGGATTTAAACTGAGATAGCCATCTTGTAGCCCGTGTCCGAAAACCTACTTGGCCACCCCCTTACGGCCGACTTCAGTCTCCATTCGTAGTTATCGGCAATTTTAAAAGAAAATATGCCAGGAATGCGTTCTTATCCCAGGAATGCGTTCTTATCCGACAATACAGCCACCCGCGGCGAGGCTTTGGTTTTTAACCAATCAGCTTGCAGCAGTACTGATCAGGCACGGATCCCTGTACTAGCGAGCAGACCACGAGCAGTTGCGTTATTTTTCGTTGTCTGTTCTGGCAATCGGCCGGCGGATGAACATCCGCAATCGAAACTTGAAATCCGTCGCGCTGATTGGTGATGAGTTTCATGAGCTACTTTCATGAGGTCTATGAAAGTAAACCTATGCTATGCCCTGAACAGATGACATCTCGTTTGGTAGCCAATTGCTAAAATGTATTTTTATCTTACGCAAGGCAGTATACCATATTTTATACCGTGGCTCTGATCCGAAATCAGAGGCCTCTTGCACCAAACTACCTAGCTAGGTAAAATCGAAAAACCGGTTTAAGAATAAGTTAATCTAACGGTGGTATATTTGTTTGCAATAGCCCAATCCATACTCCTACATGTGCTTGCTAAATTTTGCACGCAAATTGTTACAATTGAGGCTTGGACTGGGTATACGTTGCAAAATAATCCAAGCATTGGTGCAAGAGGATTTTGGTGCAAGAGGCCTCAGGGCATTTTTGTTCGAACAAATACCTATAACGATGAAGAAGTGCGTGATCCGCGGAGCAATTAACGACCTACGTCGGGTCGGGGTTATATGGCCTTGGGGTCGGGACTGATATGCGTGTGACTGTGCACAAACTTGTGACAAGTAAGTACCTAGGTACCTAGGTAGGTACCTAAATTCTTATTTATTGCAATGGCTCTTCTATTACTTTTGTTTTCACAGAACTCTCCCCTGGATTAGCAAACCCTTTTGAACTGTTCAGGCTTTCACAACTGAAATGCCAGACTGGATAAAAAAACACAAGTTATGCCGAATATGTCATGCGAAGTGGCGTGGTTGCAGCGTTGCCCCGAAAATTTCATCGCACATCCAGCATAATTTTGCATGCGTCAAATTCAGCGCATGGTGGCAGCTGAATTTTTAGGCGCAGGGTGACCGCATGGCGCATAATGTTTATGCAAATGGCTGTCACCGAATTTTTTGACACACTGTGGTCAATCTAGCAGCAGACTTGCCCTGCGGGCGCTGGCAGGTCTGAAGAGAGTCGGAACTTCCGGCCTGGGCCTTGTTTCACCTTAAGATTCTACAATGTGCCACACAAATTGTGGTATTGGGTTTTCATGGGAACATTAACTAATTCAGACGCTCAGAAAGGGAAGAGCGTCTGACTCAGAGGCCCCGGAACGATCTGTCTGGTTGATATAGCCTTGGTCGGTAGATATGCACGTGCTTTATGTAAAAGTGGCTTAATTTTGGTGCAAACAGGCACCCAACTTTCAGTGGAAATCATGCACTGGAATTTCAGCTCAAAATTGCTTGCTTCAAATTTTGGCGCATGAGGGGCTCACGGGCATCCGGCGTAGTGTATGGATGTTTTCCAGTCTGGCTGAAAGGCAGAACTCAGACACATTTATCCAGCCCTTCAAATCCCATTTCCTGGTTGTGGTAACACCTACCTTTCCATGGGGGTTTGGTTCATCTCTTGTCTACACAGTTTTCTTTCACTTATGTGCTGACAAGAAAAGGAAACTCACCAGAGCCCAGTTTCACCAAGTGCGGTAAACTCAATTTGGGGTAAACTACTAAACTACCCCACTACTTAACTACAAAAACTACCCCAAAATTAAGTTTACCGCACTTGGTGAAACTGGGCTCAGTGGAGCTATTCAGCTTAATACACAGAGTATGTGTTGCATGGACTAAGCATGTGTTGACCCTTTTTTACTTTTAGGTTCCCGCTAAAAAAAAAGAAGTACAGAGAAAAGTGGATGAGGGTGTGTGGCATGACCAATGAGCCAAGACCACATGACCACTTAAACTTAACAAGAAGTGCGCACCATGATAAGCACAGTCAAAAACGTTTGCGTCTAAAGAACAGTGCTGTGCCGGATCAGAATGTAAGTATTTTTTAAAAGTGATGAAAATGCCTGCTATATTGTTTAAAAAAAAGTTATCAAAAGACTTTGAATATTGTTTTTGTAACACTTCACTCTAAAGTTATTCCTAGTACCAGACATTACAGCTTTAGTGCAGAGTCTTTATTTGTGATATTTTTAGCCAAAAATTATTACTAGTACCGAGCCCTTACAGCTTTACAGCACTAGTACCTTGACCTTATTTTTTATATTTTTTAGCCATTTCAACCTAACCGAATATCTGTATGTTTGTATGTTATTGTTTTGATCTGTATTTTATGCTACCTCCCTATAGGTAAGTTTTATTAAAACATGTGGTAACGGTGTGCTGATTTTTTACAGATTCCGTATACGCCTTGGGTTGCTGTCGCTGCTCGGTCACCCACAGATGAAAGTGATCAAGAAATGGACATCACTCAGGTAAGATTCAAGCGTCCTTTATTTTACACATAATACACTAAGCAGTAGCACCCTAACCGCAACATATGGGAATGCATTGCCTGGTGGGTGCCTACTGCCTACCTGTATGCCAAGTTTCAGCTAAATCGCCCCAGTAATTACAGAGTTATTGAAATGGGAACAAATTCGGCACCTCTTCTTTTTACATTTTGCACGTGCAGTGGGGGTCACTCACATAGATCAAGAGCATCCGACCTTTGGTTGAAGGGGTGCAGCTACCCTACAAAATTCACCGCAAGACCGCCCAAGCGGCTGCTGAGATATGAGCCTCTCAAAATCACTTCTTTTGCAACTTTTGACAAATAACACCCTTGACTTTTCACGTGGCACGTGCCACGACGGTCCCTGTAATGTATCAAGAGTAGTCAATTACGGGGTAGAGGGAATAGGGCTACCCAACAAAAAAAAAGACCGCAGGCCAATCGGTCCAGCGGTTGCTGAGATATAAGCCTCTCAAAAGCGTTACAGGCCGGGCCGGGTCGGGCCGCTCATACTGAGCTTTTTCCGTGATATTGAAAAGACTTCGCTTCGCTCGCTCGCTCGTAATTAACAATTCATGGTTGACTATATGGATTAAGCTAAGTGATTGCGCTCTATTAGCACACTATCTAAGTAGCCCTTAATTGCTGCCGGTGCGTTGACTATGAAAGTGAGCCGAGCTGTGACGCAAACCGTGCGCCTTTTTCAGGTGTGGGATCACTCGTGGAAGTTCACGGCGGATACGGAGCCGTGCATGCAGCTCTGGTTCGATCCTGCTCAGGGAAGCCCCAATGACGCCGTGGCGCGTATCTGGGCTGAGCGGGTGGTGGCGGGCGCTGCCGCGTGGCTGGTGGCCGCGGCCCGCTCCTGACCCGGTCGCCCTGTGCCGAGCACAGAGCGCCGACTGAGGTCAGTCTTGTGATCGAGCTTCCGCGCCGGAGGTGGAACAGCTGGAGCTGGCGGTCACCTGCGCGGGCTCGGCGGCCTGTAAGCCGTGCCGAGACGAACCGCGACACTCTTGCTAGATCTGCACCCCATTGTAATCTTCTGTAGTCGATATTCGGTAGGTACTCAATGCTCATTTTTCTGATATTAGACGAGTGGCGTGTTTTGATGTTACATTGGAGACTGCTGTCTCGGGTGGCCCGACAGTGTTCGATTGTGGTGTAATGTAGATACATAGACGGGATGCCGCGGCTCGGATTCGTAGCTGGACTACCATGTGCCTGTCGATTGAGATGCTTTGCCTGGCGATTGAGATGATTCGGGGCGCGGCCCCACACTGACGCCATGGTGCAATGAGTGACTGGCGACAACTAAGCAATTATGTACTTTTGTAGAACACATGTTTTCATGGATACTAGAGGCAGTCCTTTTTTCGCTAGCAGTCATTTGGTTCACGATACTTTCGATACCGACAAATATGTTCGGGCGGCCGGTCCGTCCACAGCTAATGCGTGCTTGCCCGCCGATGCCTAACGGAGCGCTGTGCTGTCTACGCTCACTGGTCGCTGGCCCGAGAGCCGTTCGGTTGCTGCTGTTAAAACAGTTCTCACAAAAACACGCTGGCTGGCTGCCAGTTCTTCACCAATGAGAGGCCCAGTAGCATCAGCAGGTAGCATTGTTTAATATTACTATTCCATTTTGTTTACCCATATGTCCGACCTAGAGCCGACTGGTAAAAAGCGGCAACCGAGCAGCCCTCCGCAGCGCTGCAGATCATGTACGCTCGATTATACACAATATATGTGTCTTTCTTGCACACAGAGACATGACGTTTTGTAGAGCTTTTATATCGCTTGCGGCTGAAAGGAATATTGTACATTTTAGAGCTTTCATATACGCGAGAAAATATGGTGCAAAAAACATTTATGAAGCCTGTTGAATTTTAAAGGTTGTTGGGGCATTTCACAGACTGTGTCGGTGGGCAGGGCAGCCCGGCCCCGGCCGCCGCCGCCGCCGCCTCCTTCACTGGTATGTGGCAGGGACGGAAGCTTCGTATTGATATACCGGGGTGCAACTCAAGCAGCATATCACCTATCAAACAACCTTCGGTTATGAAGTGAATGAAAACTAAATATTATGTATAATAGGGTGTGTCGACCACAAAGAATCAAGTGGAGACAGTTATATTTTATGGCCCAATAGCATGGCAAGACGATTGCTTCGAAAATTACCAGTCAAAAATGAGAAACTGAGTCCCGCGAGGCAAAATTGTTCGCCGACTTGGTCCCTTTCTGGCGATACTAGCGCCCCCAGCTTATACAGTAGCGGCCGTTCCGAAAGCTTTAGTTACATAGGTGGCGCCATAGTCGACCAGGCATTAGGCAATGCAGTCGCACTTGAACGATTCTGACAGGATGCTGATTTGCTTGTTGCTAGAAGCGATATAACAGTGTAAGACGCGTGTGGTGGAATAGGCACTACGAAAGTTTGTCAAATACGCACGTTGCACAGTCAGCTTAAAGCGGGTTTATGTATATTGATGGAGACAAGTAGAAAAACACGGAACAAATAGTGCATGGACGCGTTTCGATTATTAAATCTTCATCAGTATGACATAATCACAGAGAAAACAAGATATAGCACACAAACATAGTTTGTGTGCTATATACAAGATATAGTTTGTGTGCTATATCTTGTTTTCTCTGTGATTATGTCATGCTGATGAAGATTTAATAATCGAAACGCGTCCATGCACTATTTGTTCCGTGTTTTCTACTTAAAGCGGGTTATTTAACAGAATAAATCAAATGCAAGTTTGCGCAATATAATGCAGTTTGACAATTAAGCACAGTTGGATCATGGATGGTGGTATACGGTAAGCCTTGGCGCTGCAGCGTGTAGTGATGACGAGCTTATGTCAGCACATCTCGCTTGGAGTTGAATACGGGGATGATTTTGCGGTGTTTGAAGCTTGCCGTGATATGGCCGTGCCGCGCCTCATCGCCCACAACTCGTGAGCTGGCCAGTAACGTAGCGAAGGGGGCCCCTATGGCCTAATGGTCCTTAGGGACCCTCCTTGAGCCTTCCATGGGCCCCTGTCCCCGAAGCTGACGGCAGGACCCTTCGAAGTTTCAAAAGTTCCGGGTTGGGCTGTTTCAAATCGGGACCCCACATGTACCTAGGTATGGGGGCTTTACCTACGTATACCCTACCCAATTTTTTTAGGGCGGACTTCACCCACTTTATTTTTGATCGGCCTCTTTTTCAATTTTTATTTTATATTTATTTCTTATAGTTTGGTCGGTGGGCTAGGGACCCTCTTCAGAGCTAGTGAAGAGGCCCAGTGGTGACTGCCCACTACTGAAAGCCCACCCCATTTATCAGGACACTCACACATCCATTACATTCATAACATTCATACACGTTTGGGGAAAGTGTCAAAGTCCACTGGGGCAGGTTAGTTAGAGGGGAATTCACAGTCACAGCCAAGTCATCATCAAACTTAGGTCAGATTCAGTTCAGCGTATGTCAGCAGCAAGGTAGCCCGGGCTCCCAGAGCACCCAACGAAGCGAGGCTTTTTGTCGGGCGCTCCAAGCTGCCCTATGAGGTGAGCTCATGATATGATGGGGTTCTCTGACTAACATCTGAAGGGTCCTCTGTTAGTGTAAAAGAACTGTTATTTGCGCGAGGGGCCCTTTTTGGACCGAGAGGGCCTTCCGTCAGCCTGAGGGGCTCTTTGTTCGTCCAAGGGGTCTTACATCAATCGGGGGGGGGGGGCGTTTCCCCACCTGGGGAGGTCCTCTATCGACTTGAGGGCCGGTCTCTCTCCCGACCTGGGACCCAACACAAAATGTTGTTTTAGATTGGGTTTTCGGCATCGGAGATCAGCTGTGCCGCACTTATGCCATAAGACACGCAAAACGGCACCCTTTTTCCACATATATCCCTCACACAGAACGAATATTGTATCCAATATTTGTTTATTGCGTGCTTCTGCTAACGCAATAAATTCGTTCAGAAGAAGGTAATTAAAATAGAAAGTAGGATATTTACCAGTTGCATCAACCCTCGCTGGTACAGGGGGTTGATGCAACCCTCTAAGGTTTTTCGCAAATAACTCGCGACTCAGGGGCTCCGCCACAGGGGGGTACGCGGGGGTCCGGACCCCCTCAATAATTTCCATGGGGGGTACAGTACCCCCCAATATTCCGAATACCTGTAACCTTGTTTTGCGTTAGAATGACTAAATAATTCACAGAATGTGTTGAATAATTTAATTAGAATGTGTTAATGGTCGCAAAGCTAAGGAATAGACAGATTGTTATATTTTCAAGAATACCATAAACGAATTCTTCATATGCGATTTCATATTCGAAGAATTAAAAAAACTCAGTTTCATTCACGTTTTCATATTTAATTTTCATTTATAAAAATCGCAACTAGCAGACAACCGAAAACGACGGCCATGCTGGCTGTGACGTCACGATTCGTATGCGCGCGCAGCGTTCCCGGACGGCGGCACTGAAGACGCGTATTGGGCCGTAGTAATCTCTGTGGTAATTCGCAATTTGCATCGTCTTTATTGTGACTTCGACATATTCATCCATTCCTGGGAGAGCTGAACTGTTTTTATCATGTTTAAACCTTGCATTGTAGGAACTGCCTTACTTTTTAAGCCTCTTCCCACCCAACTGGCAGGATGTGCGGAGGGGGCTGACAGCTGTGATGGATTCCAAGACTACTGTAGAAGTAGGATGACTCCGGCTCTGTGTGCTGCAGTGCGTGAGGCGACCAAGGGGCAGGGGAAGTGTCCTCTGTGGCACGCTGTGCCATTTGGCCGCATTACGGCGTCCAAAGCGCACGGGGTGGCTCACTGCCAAAAGAACAATGGCTCTTTGGGTTAGGTAATAGGTATCCTCGGTGCTGCAAAGGTGAAGGACACTGCAGCGATGGCGCGTGGCCGAAGGCTAGAGCCTTTAGTGATAAGGGAAGTAGAAAAGCATCTGGGCGAAAAGATCGCCAGCTCTAGCATTGCATTCTTAGCAGCGGTGAACATCCTGCGTTCGCTGCTTCGCCAAACGAGGTAACTGCCAGACGCCAGTGGTAGTATAGTCGGGGTGAAGTGTCCCTCGTCTGACAAAACACTGCGTAGGTACATCGGCAGCAATGATTCTAGAAAGATCAACGCGCAGAAACATGTGGCACAGATCCAGTTGTTGATGCTGAAGGCGCAGTGCAAAATGACATACTTCTGTGTGGCTGATCCGTCCTTCGAAACCAATAGGCAGGTCACGATCGTAAGTGTTGATTACGACGAGATGTAGGTACTGTCGAGGGCTATTAGCGAGGGATGAGGCGTTTTGGCGTGCGGCTGTGCACGTCGAACTGCGCCGCGCGCGCACGCAGTAAGTCCTCGGTAGCTGCCAGCTGGTTCCACGTCAAGGCCTTGACTGAAGTGTTATTATATTATTTTAAGTCAACCCATTATAAGTCAATGGGGGAAAATCAGCTCCCTGTTTTTTTTTCTCACTAAAACGCGTCGGAATGGCCCCATATACCATACACGACCTCATATACGATCAACCTTGTCCTTCACTACCTTGAGGCCTGTTTTGCTGTTGGGCAGCTGTAAGGTCATGTGACGTCATCAAAGGTCACCAAAGGTTTTCTGCCAATGACTCCTTACAGAAACGAGATACAGCCGCGCGGATGGTCTCATTTACCGGGGTTACATGAGCGATCCGTTCCAAATACGCACTACGCTAATGCGCATCAGCTCCCCACAAACGTATCTACGGCACCGGTTACATGAGACTAATTCGTTTTATCTACGTCAAACGGATCTTGTTTGGCTCACCCGGGCTGACTCCTCGACGGCCGGTAATTCGCATCACAAACGGAATAGGATTAGCGTACAGTCATGGCGCAGTTGCGGCATTTACCGGGACGACTGAGCTAAATTTTAAATACTTATATCATTTGATAGGCTCAAAACCATTTAAAATTAACATGAAATCAAAAAATGAAAACAAAGTTTTCTTGTTTTAAGTCAGTTGGCACTGATTCGCCATGCAGCGACAGCAGGGTGGTCAGAAAAAATTATCTATCAAAATATTTCATTCATTTTATTTCACATGCAAAGACTAAACCAAAATACCAACATTTTTTTGCTATTTTCTACGAGGCAGCCAATAAAAAAAATGCTTAGTATTTTGCATTTTGACGCTTCCAGTCAGCAAAAAATAGTTCTTGTGAAATACGGCCCGAATCGTGTGCCTCGGACGTTTCGGTTACATGAGCGATCCGTTCCAAATACGCACTACGCTAATTCGCATCAGCTCCCCAAGAACGCATTTACCGGGGTTACATGAGCGATCCGTTCCAAATACGCACTACGCTAATGCGCATCAGCTCCCCACAAACGGATCTACGGCACCGGTTACATGAGACTAATTCGTTTTATCTACGTCAAACGGATCTTGTTTGGCTCACCCGGGCTGACTCCTCGACGGCCGGTAATTCGCATCACAAACGGAATAGGATTAGCGTACAGTCATGGCGCAGTTGCGGCATTTACCGGGACGACTGAGCTAAATTTTAAATACTTATATCATTTGATAGGCTCAAAAACATTTAAAATTAACATGAAATCAAAAAATGAAAACAAAGTTTTCTTGTTTTAAGTCAGTGGGCACTGACTCGCCATGCAGCGACAGCAGGGTGGTCAGAAAAATTTATCTATCAAAATATTTCATTCATTTTATTTCACATGCAAAGACTAAACCAAAATACCAACATTTTTTTGCTATTTTCTACGAGGCAGCCAATAAAAAAATGCGTAGTATTTTGCATTTTGACGCTTCCAGTCAGCAAAGAATAGTTCTTGTGAAATACGGCCCGAATCGTGTGCCTCGGACGTTTCGGTTACATGAGCAATCCGTTCCAAATACGCACTACGCTAAAGTCGCATCAGCTCCCCAAGAACGCATTCAGTGCACCGACTACATGAGCAAATTCGTATCAGTGACGTCAAACGGATCTAGTTTGGCTCTCGGCCCGATGCGCATTACAAACGGAATAGCATACAAATGTGGCGCACTTCCGTAGCAATAGAGGTGACTAAATTAAAAATTTATTATGTTATGTCTTTTTTGCATTTAATCTGCTCAAAACATTCTCAATTAACTTAACAAAAAAAGTTGAACATAAATTTGTCTTGCTTTGACTCATTGGGCAATTGCCTCTCTTGATTCGTCTGTAGTGCTGTCAGAAAAATGTTTCAACTGAAATTATGTGGATATTTACTATTTGGTTTTCACTATATTTATTGTTGAAAACTTGACAAAATACCGACATATTTTTTTGAATATTATTTCAAAAGAAGAAAATGAAAAAATACCTATTATTTTGCATTTTAATGTTTCTTTTTGCGAAGAAATAGTTCCTGTAATACGTATCTTGGTCCTATTCGCTTCTAAGCCTCTTTCCCAGCGGATTTTGTTCGGACCGCCGATTCGTATTAGCAGGTGGATACATGAGTCGGTAGTACGCTCCTGATTCGCATTAGCGGTGAATCCGATCGTGATACGTATTTGCTTTGCTCATGTAACCGCGGATCGGATCGCCGATTCGTACTAGCAGGTGGCTACATGAGTCGGTAATGCGTTCCTAATTCGAATTAGCGGCTAAATACGTATTTACTGTGCTCATGTAACCCCGATACATGAGTCGGTAGTACGCTCCTGATTCGCATTAGCGGTGAATCCAGGCCCATGTCACTCCACTTTTGATGACATCATATGGGGGCCTCAGGACAATAATGGCGCGGCGCGCCACAATCGCTTCGAAGCTACTTGCCAACAGTTGCCATTTTTGAAAATATTATTTTGAAATAAAGTTCCAAGTAATAAAAATATTGTAATAAAGTTGTTGAATAAATCGATACCATATCTAAAAACTTACTGAAAAATGATTTATTCATAGTAAAAATAAAAGCTCGATGCGTTTTTACGTTGCTTTCCTTCAACTGCAGAGGGTTTTTAAATCGTCTATATCTTCAAAACCGGCCATTTCTTAGCATATTGCTGCTCTTTTTTATCGCTAGAAAATTAGTTGGTCTTTCCAATGACATCAATGGTTGAGCAATATGTGTAGAGTGTCACCAACAATCTTCAAATGAAGTTAGTCATTTTTACGTTGTAAAGGAATGGAGTACCCCTATCGAGCATCAGGGGTGACGTCACTCAGGATCTGTCTCTGATTGGTCGGCGGGAGAGTGACTGTACCTTCTATAGATGGCCTTGGGTGAATCCGATCGTGATACGTATTTGCTTTGCTCATGTAACCGCGGATCGGATCGCCGATTCGTACTAGCAGGTGGCTACATGAGTCGGTAATGCGTTCCTAATTCGAATTAGCGGCTAAATACGTATTTACTGTGCTCATGTAACCCCGATAATTGTGTTTAGCTCGCCAAGGCGCATCGAATGATATACATGATGACCTCGAGGTCACGTGACCTGAGGTCAACCTTTGACCTTGACCTTTCGAGGTCAACATACATATGGTTCGATACCGATTGGCAAGAGGATCACGATGGTGCCCTTAGTTTGTCCCTAGCTTGCCTAATTCGAAAGTTATTCGAGAAAAACTATCCATATGAAGCGCCGCCATTTTGACTTTTTTGACCCCTGTGACGTCATCTTTGACCTGACCTGAAAATGACTTAAGTAAAAATTGTAGACCTTGTCCGTGCGTACTCAATGCCGTTTACCGCTTGTCGCTATCTTGCTTCGTTCTCGAGATCTCAGGGGGGGGGGGAGGGTCATCCGCCCTCCCCCCGTCGGTTGTAAGTTGGCGCGAACCCCGTCGGTGCGCGGGTTAACAAACACTTTATCAGGTGTTGAGGATGAAGTACCTACTAGTACATCCTGGAGTAATACACCACTTATTTTGCTTTGTAGGTACCTACCATCTTTCTTCCACAAAGATCCACCTTCGTCCGCCGACCAACACTAACATAATGCAGCCAACCTTCACGGGCTCGCTGGATACGAATCGTGACGTCACGACCAATCAACGCTCGTTATTTAGTCACGTGATAATAATTGACGTTTAAACCGATTTTTAAGGCATTAAGACTTCACGAATCAAGCTGATTTTTTCACCATTGGAGTTTTCAGATCAAATAGCACCTAGTACGTGCGAAAAAAGTGGCATTTTTGCATAGCGCAACACGTCTATTTAAGATCTAGAAATGTAGGGAAACACGAAGATGTTGTGACACACGAAGTGCTCAGCAATCGCCGACCTATATTTATGGAAGTGTCATTATTCTACCATTTTGTTATTACTATGAATGCGTTTAAGATTGCTAGGATTAACTTAGCATGCTAGAATTTGGCAATAATTTCGTGAGATGGATCCAGCTTGCAGGACACCTCCTAGACACAACACCCGCCCCAAAAGAGCTTCAAATCGATCTGAGAACCCTCTTTCCATGTGAGATCACCCGATAGTGTGTGTGTGTGTGTGGGGGGGGGGGGGTAAGCCGGTCTTTCGAGCACCATACTAGTCTGAGAGCCTAATGCGCTGTCTGATGGCTAACACCGCCCTTGGAGCGCGCAACAGCGGCCTCCTTATGTCCGTGAACTTAGCGACGTATACGTATACGTATTCAGCGACGAATTCCAAATCACTTCAGATTCATGGCATGGGTTAAGTTGACCATGATGAACACGAATATGACATTTATTTTAACTTTTGAGCTGATCTTCATGGTTAAAATCCGGTTTAAATGACGGGGAACCGCATAACGTCGTGAAAATAAAAACCCACGAATTCCAAAGTATATCCAAATGTAGAGCTCATCCAGATCTAACGTCCGTGGAAGAATCCAAGCTCGTGGCTCTTTAACTTCATGGTTAAAATCCGGTTTAAATGACGGGGAACCGCATAACGTCGCGAAAATAAAAACCCACGAATTCCAAAGTATGTGCAAAATGCAGAGCTCATCGAGATCTAACGCCCGTGGAAGAATCCAAGCTCGTGGCTCTTTAACTTTATGGTTAAAATCCGGTTTAAATGACGGGGAACCGCATAACGTCGCGAAAATAAAAACCCACGAATTCCAAAGTATGTGCAAAATGTAGAGCTCATCCAGATCTAACGTCCGTGGCAGAATCCAAGCTCGTGGCTCTTTAACTTCATGGTTAAAATCCGGCTTAAATGACGGGGAACCGCATAACGTCGCGAAAATAAAAACCCACGAATTCCAAAGTATGTGCAAAATGTAGAGCTCATCCAGATCTAACGTCCGTGGAAGAATCCAAGTTCGTAGCTCTTTAACTTCATGGTTAATATCTGGTTTAAATGACGGGGAACCGCATAACGTCGCGAAAATAAAAACCCACGAATTTCAAAGTATGTGCAAAATGTAGAGCTCATCCAGTTCTAACG